TTCTACACTGCCATTTTCACGGATCCGTTCCTGTCTGTCGAGTACTAAGTAACACCAAGGGAGAGTTGAAACTCCCTGGTAACATTAATCTAGATGTACACATGGTCAAACAAACCTCACATTTCTTGTGCTGCTCACTACTTTCACGGTAAATCCTCGAGAATAATATGTACTTTTCATACATGATCTTTAATATTTGCGTCGTCACTCCTGCTCTGCTAGGTTTTGATTGACACAAATTCCATAATAACACGTACAGCATGAAGCTGTGATCAATATGAGTAAAGGATTCAATAAACAGCAATGTCACTGTCCCCAGTCGTTCTTTTCTGTTTTCTTTTCCTTTTTTTTTTCACATGTTCTGTTGTCCTAGGAGTCAAGACCCTTGGCACTAGCCTCTACCAGGCACCGCGGATCGCTGGAAAAATAGTAGAAATTGGCCGAAATAAAGGGATAGTATACAAGAGAAGATCCAGGGCCATAGAAGCTCCAATTTGCGACCCACGGAAATTTGGAGCTTCTATGGCCCTGGATCTTCTCTGGTTTATTCGGCCAATTTCTACTATTTCCAGCGAATTTCTACTATTTCCAGCGACCCGCAGTGCCTGGTAGAGGCTACCTTGGCACAGTGCTCTTCCATTCCCCCACGGATTACTACCGTCCCACAAGCTAATGGAAATAAATTGGGTGTCCACTGTGGTGACCGCGGCGCCCCTTTGATAGGGGGTGGAGCACCCCAGAGGCGCCTTTCCATCGCAGGGCACAGGTCCCTCCGCGCACGTTAAAAAATACCTGGGATATCCCCTCTTGGATATGTAGTTCAGAAAACAGCGACATCAACAACAACACAAAGTAGACACCCACTGAAACATTCTCGTTTTGGAATGTGAATGTCAATAATTTGTCAACAAAGGAGTAAGAAAGGCCAAGGACGATAGAACGTCCGTGAAAAGGCTAAAGGAAAGGAAAATAAAGAGATGGAAACCAAAAAGACAGACGGGGAGAGAAAGGAATAGAGGAAGAAAAACGTAGTTGTTTTCCTTCCTTCCTCGTAGTATTATTGTACAGAAGAAACCAGATTTCCAACAAAAGCTTTAATATCTTTTGGGTCAGCATAAAATACGTTTATCCTACCAGGGGTGGTTAAAAGACTTAAAAGGGTTAAAAAAAGCACATTGATTTATCCCAGACTCCTCCCACGGTCATTGTCCCCTTAACAGTTCAGCAACCTTATAGTTCTACTTCTTCAAGCAGAAATGCAGACTTTGAAAACGCCCAGAAAGTCTTGCACAACAATCTATGCATCTGCTTGAACACACTCACCGAGCACTTGCATCACAAAGCTTAGTAGCTATTCATATCTCTATACACATCATAATATCTCGTCTGTACATTTGATGATAATGTCATGATACAAATATCGAACCAACTTCACATTGGAAATGATAACAATAATAGTTGACTATAAAAATGAGTATAAAATAAACTGAACCAAGAATCCCCAATGTTTTAATGTTGCTTCTGATATAACTATTGTATTGTTGGGTTTTATTTCTTTGTAGTGTATGCAATGGGGTATGAAATGCTCCACAATTTGGGGGACTTTTTTTGTACAATGGAAAGGTGCATAAAGATGGGAGACATTTTGGTGACTATGTAAGACCACTCCGTCTACTAGCTAACTAACTGACGAACCGACGCTGGGATCCCGCCAAAGGTTCTAGCCATCCTGTCACCAAATTCTGAGCCGGACCTCAGAATGTGCCATCCCCCTGCCGTACATCCCGACTGTGTGCACTGCGGACACCCCGGCATCTCACGACCGGGCGCTAATGCCTGTACCCGGACAGAGGATACCGGTTCAACATTTCTCCTGTAGGGGCACGGTCAACAGGATTGACATGCCGATATTTTACCACGAAAGGGAAGGCAAGGATTCATTCGGTGGGAAACTAAGTCTTCACAAACAAACAGCGAGATTGTCCTTTAAAAAAATGGCAAACGCAGATAGCTGGGGCAAGTCCTTGAATGGAGTGAAGGTTTGCAAAAGCTTCAAGCAGATACGTAACGTTTTGTACGATCGGTAGGGGCACGGTCAACAGGATTGACATGCCGATATTTCACCACGAAAGGGAAGGCAAGGATTCATTCGGTGAGAAACGAAGTCTTCACAAACAAACAGCGAGATTGTCTTGGGAAAAAATGGCAAACGCAGATAGCTGGATGGAGTGAAGGTTTGCAAAGCTTGTTTTGTACGATCGTTATGACTGAGATATGTAGTATGAAAACACAAAAAGACGTACTAAAAAGGGACAAAACATCACACTTTGGGAGACATTGAATTGTCGCAGTTGAATAGTCACTACATCAATTATAAGCAGCGAAAAACAGGTTGAAATTACTTGTTGGTTAGTTCAAGGTTGTTCTTTTTCGGAACAAGTCCAATCATTGTCCAACTGTGATGTTAATTAGTTTATCTTACAGTAAATTCCGTCAGGAAAGAAAGTCAGGAAAGAAAGGTTTCCACACAGTACAACTGAACAACAACAACAGGAAAGTTTACAAGTTCCTACATAATTTACAAGTGTCTGTGTGCTCCTAGGATGAGCATTCCACACTCCCGTGGAAAAATGGGGAGGAATTCGTCATGTCGTCTCGCTTGGCTGCATTTCAACACTTATTTACCCGTCGGTAACGAGAGACTCCGCCCATAAACAAGTGGCTGTTCCGGGTAATGTGCTCCCTCCTTACGTGTTGACTTAGGCACGCCCACTTGGCTCCTCCCATCGGGCTTTGATTGACAGATTCTCCAAACGTTCTTGTTACGACATGTACTGTAGTCAGGTGTTACCTCAGACTTCATCTAAGCAAACAGTTTTACAAAGAGTCGAAGAAATAGAACATTCGTTATGTTATTGGAGACTCGTGACTTTGAGCTTTCTGCTGCTGTTGTCTTTGCTACACTACTGTGTTTCCCCTTCATTAGTTACTGTATTTCTCACTGAAAAGATTATTTTCTTCCCTCTACAAACGCTGGAACCAGTCCATCTCACTCACTGTCCAACAATGAAATATTTAGAGCAATGACAACCACGTAAAATTGAAGGATGAAATAATTGCACTCAATTGCAAGCTACGAAATACTAGTAACCTGGACAATGTCATGAAAATTTAAAGGAAAATTTGTGGCACTATATTCATGTCCCCATACAACTTTTAGTCTTCTTATTGTGTAAAATAAATAAGAAAAAAAATCTGCTATCTATTTCTTATGTTTCTTCTGAAATGTTATTGTTGGAGTGGGGACTTTTCCTTCTTTTTGATTTAGCTACACCCCAATTAAAAAACGGACTGTGTTATATGACAGTGTAGTGTTTGATACCGTCAGTAATGAGACGTATTCAGACATGATGTGAAGTATCAGGTTACATGATTCTCCCTCCTGTTGGGAAAGATGGTCTTAAAGGTCACCAGGTCATGACATCTGACCCCTGGGTGCTTAAATCTGTCATACTGGCATTTAAATGTCATTAAGCGGGTTACAGTTAAGTTAAATAGTTCAGGTGTATCATACACGCTTGGGTCAACATGCAGGTACACTTAGCAGTGTTAGAGAAATACCCATATGCAGTCTGCATTTTGAAGAGACATTTTCAAAATTGCAGAAGAAAAATTATTAAAAGCAAGCTGCTATTTTGCAGACTGAAACAATCAGGCTAGGTGTTCAATGGAGCTTTTGTGTTAACTACTGAGTACTGACTCTGTAAATGTACAAGCATTTTTTTCATGTATTTGTCAAATTGCATGTAAAATGTTTGGCAACATGCAATTTTGTATATGCCATGGATTTAGATCCGTACTAGCCTGGGTTCCAAACCCATAGCACAGTGTGATTGGGTTTGGAACCCAGGCTAGATCCGTACTTTTAAGCATGTATTTGCAGAAAGCATTTTTGAATTGCAGAACAAAATTTTGACATTCTGCAACATTGCAGAACACTGAAAAAAAGTATTTCTACCAGTGCATAGTCAGACAGGATACAGCTTCTATTCTGTAACACACAAGGAATGCAAAAGATCTACAATTAAAACTGAGCATTTTTTTTATTTGCAATATCAGCATAACTTATCAGTAAAACAGACAAGTTGTTCAGTATTTTTTCCTCTTGGCACACATTCTATATTATCTTATCATCATGAATAGAATGCTTCATTTCCAGAAGCTTCATTGAAAATGATGCAATAAAAACAGACATTTCCAAAATATGAATAAATAAGGATGTCACAACTCCCCAAACTTTGTACCGAGTAGTGCAATATGTGCAGAGGTGCAGATGAGATAGTTTTGTGAAAATATTTCACATTTTGCAAGTTTTGCACCCAAAACCAGAAATGAGAAGTATTGTCTAACTGAAAACTTGTGGTTAGGCCACACCAATTTAATTTCTTGGTTAACGGATTCGCCCGCTTCATTTTTTTCTGATTTGCAAATAAAAATAAAAATTCAGAATCAACTGCAAAATGCTCATATTTTGCCCTGAACAGTTGAAAACAGTCCTTTTCATCCTAGTTGTTACAGTTATTCCATCTTTCAATTCATTGTTTAAATTTTGAACCAGCATGGTATGTTGACTTCATGGCTCCTATCGTACCATTTTGGGCCATAATAGGATGCCTAGGCCTGTTTTCATGTTTTTTTTTTTTTTCGCCCGCCCGCTCCATTATTTTTCTTCAAAAATCCGTTAACCAAGAAATCAAACTGGTGTGGCCTTACATGGAATTTAACTTTCTCCATTTTATTCTCAAGTGTCACATTCTTATATGTAGTCTAACACTGCTTGCATCAGTTTTTTTAATAGCTAGAGGACAGCAAAAGCAGAGTACATTTTCTACTCTGAAACTAAGTATGCCTCTCAGAGGCTTTCCATCACATTTTCATGACATTTTCAATCAGGTTTCCATGACTTTCTAGTTCTATCATGTTGTTTTCACGACTTCCCACAAGTTTCCAGTTCTATCCATGTTCTTTTCATGACTTTCCACAAGTTTCCAGTTCTATCCATGTTCTTTTCATGACTTTCCACAAGTTTCCAGTTCTATCCATGTTCTTTTCATGACTTTCCCATCTTTCCATCATGTTTCCTTTCATTCTGATGATTTTTCATGTCCTGCGATAACACTGTGCATTGCTAAAGGCGTTCTATGGGCCACACCAATTTAATTTCTTGGTTAACGGATTTTTTTAGAAAAATAATGGAGCGGGCGGGCAAAAAAAAAAAACAGGCCTAGGCATCCTATTATGGCCCAAAATGGTACGATAGGAGCCATGAAGTCAACACACTAGGCTGTTAATGATACCATTGCATTGAAAGATGGAATAACTGTAACAACTAGGATGAAAAGGACTGTTTTCAACTGTTTAGGGCAAAATATGAACATTTTACAGTTGATTCTGAATTTTTATTTTCATTTGCAAATCAGAAACAAATTGAAGCGGCGAATCCGTTAACCAAGAAATTAAATTGGTGTGGCCTTAATATGGTGAATCTTGCGTCAGTCCTAGTCACTGTCAGACTCACTCAGTTCCAGATCCTCACCTGTGGCAAGAATGACAAACAGGTAAGAACAAACACAATGCACCTGGTGAACACATCTTGGTTCACAAATATTCTTCACAAATCTTGGACACCTTGGTTAAAAACATGCCAAAACAACAGACTAAGTAACACACAGCAGTGTCAAAGCTAGAACTCTAACCTGAAAGGCAGGTACATTTTAGCCAATAAATTCACCAGTGACCTTTTATTCACAAATCTACATTTTGGGAATTGAGTTATAATACAACCAGTACTAAAAACTTGGTCTTGGATCAAGTTTCTGTACCCATCTTTGTACATAGTTCCCACTTTTTGCAAGATACTAGTAGTTAACAATGTATGTTCACAGCACAAATTTTATGACTGAAGTAGTTTGCTTCTATCATTTTTTTCTGACAAAAAGAAAAGAACTTCAAGATAAATAGCCTGATCAGGGTAGAAGAGAAGCTGTTGAGGAAAGGGATGTATATGGCAGATAAGTCCAACAGTTCCTCTAGTGCTTAGGCCACAAATAGTTGCATGTCCAAGTACATCAGGCAGGGGGCTAGTCAAATGTTTTCTGTCTCAATATTAGAAATCTGTTAGGGTACAAGTCTAACATTTATTTCATATTGGTCTTGACTTGTGTCACTAATAAATCATCTACGAAACATCTATGATCAAATCTCTAAAGGAGTTCAGAATTCTCTGTAGAAATTGTTTGAAGAGGACAATGATCATTATCTGCCTGGTTTGCTGGAAGAAGAGCCAAATTTACAGTTGTCATTTGGAGCTTGTTAACTCCGGATGTGATAGACTTTTAGCCCCCTCCAACCTCAGGCCACCCTGGACCATTATTCTTCAGTAGAAAAATGTCAGTGATGTCAATCTCCAAACCTGGACATAAGAGGGTCTGCATGGGGGTGTCCTAGTAACGGTTAACGGTAAATTCAGCAGGCCCAACAACGCTTAACGGTAAATTCAGGACGGTTGGTAACGCTTAATGGTAAATTGACACGCATTTTTTTCGAACTCCACTATATTCGGTATTTGAATTGGTGAGAAAGAGTGTTCCACGCCTGCCATAGTCCCCGAGTGTGCCCACAAATGCTTGAAGAGGGGGACCGAGCGCAGCAGGCGCGAGTCGAGTGCCAAAGGCGCGAGCAATTTAGGGGGGTCCGGGGGTATGTTCCCCCGGGAAATTTTGCATTTTTAAACCTTCAATAACGCATTTTCCTGCATTTTGAGGGGCAAAGTGACGACCGTTTCTTGAGGTTTGACTACTAGTACGCAGGTCTATGCCGTAACGGAGGATCATTCAGTAACGCTTAACGCTGAATTTGGGATGACAAGTAACGCTTTACGAAGAATTAAAAGGACCAATAACACTTCACGAGGAATATACCGATAACGCTTAACGCTGAATTAGAGCGGGTCGGCAACGATTAACGGTGAGTTAAAATAGCCCATAACGGTTAACGGAAAAGGGCATGCAGGCCCTCACATAGCATGGAGCCATGATATATACGGGAAGGACTTCCACGGTTGATTGTACCAGGTGTACCACAGAGTTCCTTTACAAGGTTGAGTTTTATCCAGAAGTGTGCTGGTGAGTGTTGTACCCATCCTCCCCATACATCGGTGTGACAGTGGCCTGGTATGATCAGACTCCTGGATCTACTGACCCGTGTAGACCCTGTTTAACACCCTTCTGAAGCTGCCGCCTGGTACAGCCAGGACTTGGCAACCGTTCCCTGAGACCTGCGCTGATCCTTGTGTGATTACTGTTACATGCACTGCTAGTAGTACCAGTGTTTGAAAACTTGAAGTCCTAACATCAAGTACAGGTGTGGTACATAATAAAAGTCATCTGTGAAGTAGTAAGACTTAAGTGGTTCACTTCTTTTTGAAGAAAGTGGACTGCGTCATTTGAGAGCTGGCTACATATTACGCTGAGTTCAGGAAGCCTCCCCATTACGTTTTATGATAAATTCCAGGTAGCTACAACGTATTACGTAGAATCAAATGGTGAGTTACGCTCTATGCAAAATGCGACAATAATGCTCTACGTTGAATTAGAGCGGTCTGTCTATGCATTTACGTTGTACGGAAAAGGGCATGTGGGCCCCCATTACTGTTATTGCTAGAACTAGTACCAGTATCGCAGTGTTTGAAAACTTTCAGTCCTAACATCAAGCACAGGTGTGGTACATGATAAAAGTCATCTGTGAGATAGTAAGACTCAATGTGAAGTCTAATTTCTATTCATTTGACTGGGTGATACAGTGCGGGTAGTATTTGCCAGGCTTGTTCGATTGCTGGTTTTTTTTATGACACCTGACATGAGTTCTGTTTTTAAAACTATGACAAAGTTTTTGTCAAAGATGAGCAGAACATCAAATATCTCAAGTGATCCCAGTCAACATACATTACTAAGAAATACATCTATACATCTAACAGGTGTGTGTGGGCATAGAGGCTTTTACTAGATAATTTATGCTTCCCATTTCTAGGACAATAGATACATGCAATGCTTTACAGTCACAAGAGACATCATAACCAATCAGTACCCTCCTAACTTGTTTTTCATTCATTGCTGAGTGTAGTTTTTACCTGTATGGTTGCTAAATTACCTCTTTCTTCTCAAAAGAGGAGCAAGCTCCCTACTGAAACATGCTTCTGACATCAATTTCGAATGTCAGTTTTTTTTTTACCTCACAGAGAATGTTTTAAGTCAAGAGGTCATTATCGGCAAAGGTTATGTTGATGCTTGACGACTCTAAAAGATAAAACTTCAGAAGAAGACCCTGTGACACTTTAAAATTACCTTTTCCTTCTCAAAAGGGGAGCAAGTTCCCTACTGAAATATACTTCTGACATCAATTTCGAATGTCTGTTTTTACCTCACAAAGTCAAGAGGTCATTATTGGCAAAGGTTGTTGATGCTTGACTCTAAAAGATAAAACTTCAGAGGCCTTCAGAAGAAGACCCTGTGACACTTTAAAATTACCTTTTCCTTCTCAAAAGGGGAGCAAGCTCCCTACTGAAATATACTTCTGATGTCAATTTCAAATGTCTGTTTTTACCTCACAAAGTAAAGAGGTCATTATTGACAAAGGTTGTTGATGCTTGACGACTCTAAAAGATAAAACTTCAGAAGAAGACCCTGTGAAACTTTAAAATTACCTTTTCCTTTTCAAAAGGGGAGGAAGCTCCCTACTGAAATATACTTCTGACATCAATTTCAAATGTCTGTTTTTACCTCACAAAGTAAAGAGGTCATTATAGGTAAAGGTTGTTGATGCTTGACGATTCTAAAAGATAAAACTTCAGAAGAAGACCCTGTGACACTTACACAGCTGACTCATGAAAACGGGAGGTTTGTGCTGATGATGAGACCCAGATGTTGTCTTGTCAGGACCTTCCTTCTTGGCTGGCTGAGAATCTGTCAAGACAAAAAGACAAGACATGGGCCATTGGGAGTGGCATTCCTAAGGGGGACTGTTCAGCACTATTATAGACAAGTGCTCAGCACTATTATAGACAAGTGTTCAGCACTATTATAGACAAGTGTTCAGCACTATTATAGACAAGTGTTCAGCACTATTATAGACAAGTGTTCAGCACTATTATAGACAAGTGCTCAGCACTATTATAGACAAGTGTTCAGCACTATTATAGACAAGTGTTCAGCACTATTATAGACAAGTGTTCAGCACTATTATAGACAAGTGTTATCTCTTCAATTCTGATGATGTTTTTTTTTTTTTGGAGTCAAATTTTCCTGTAGAAATTGGATCCAACGATAGCTGAGATATCGTCAAAATTGTATGTTTAAGTTAATCTACAATGTATAATTGTATACATTGCAATGGTGTGAAACAAATTGTATTGCCATAAAGATCCTATATGGAGTATGAAAGTAAATTGGAAAATATGGAAAAGTGAAAAAAGACTTTTGTGAAGAGACATTGCAGGAAAGGCATATAGATAAAGCCACATACATGATAGTACTTAAACACAAACTATTTATTCATTTTTGTTCAATTTTTCATCTAAATCTATACACATTTAACTTTTCCTACTGACTTATTTTTCCTCTACAAGATTCTCTGTTTCTTTAACTAAGACTTTTCCTACTATACTACTTGCTTGAGAAATTATTACCTAAAAGAACCTTCTAACTCTAAGGCCTTGAAATTCTACAACATCTATAAAAGTCATTTTCAGCATTAAAGATTAGGCCACACCAATTTAATTTCTTGGTTAACGGATTCGCCGCTTCATTTTTTTCTGATTTGCAAATAAAAATAAAAATTCAGAATCAATTGCAAAATGCTCATATTTTGCCCTGAACAGTTCAAAACAGTTCCTTTTCATCCTAGTTGTTACAGTTATTCCATCTTTCAATGCAATGGTATCATTAAAAGTTCAAAATTCATTGTTTAAATTTTGAACCAGCCTGGTGTGTTGACTTCATGGCTCCTATGGTACCATTTTGGGCCATAATAGGATGCCTAGGCCTGTTTCTATTTTTTTTTTTCCCGCCCGCCCCATTATTTTTCTAGAAAAATCCGTTAACCAAGAAATTAAATTGGTGTGGCCTTATCACAGTAGATTTCTTTGCAATTTTGGGTCAGGTGCTTATAATCCATTCTTACCACTACAATCTAGTTTGAACTACTTATAGCTAAAGTTCCAGTCAATAAATTTGATCAAGAATGTTAAAGTGCCTTGTATGCTGATCCCTTTAATTAATTAGCAAGGCAATAATTACTAAAAGACGAAGCATTTTTAAATTACTTGGAACAAGCCTATTTTTAGAAGACTCCCGAATGAGCTTAGAGTGTGGCCGGAATCAATTACAATGTAACACAATTATGTCAGCCTTAATTATGGGACATTTGTACTGAGGACAGCGTCACATTGATTTCTTTATGAAAAGAAGCCACCTTCTTGCCTTATTTGGAGTGTTCGTATCTGAGGCTATCAATTAACAGCTAATTTCAGCATGAATCTGATAAAGTGTGAAAACAGGTTGGGGGAGTTGGTGACAGTGGGATTTAGGGAGAGATAAGAATTGAGGAGCTTCGAAAGTTTGAAATAACAATCTTTGGTGTTCTATAATCATGATAGAGAGCCCAAAAATTATACTGAGATATTCATCAGTCCAGGAATATTAGCATTTGTATTTCAATTGCATGAAAGCTTAAAGTATCCAAGTACAAATACACATGTATCAGCAATCTTTTAGTTAAATTAGTAACTTTTGCATACATTTAGTGTGTGAATGTTGATTCTTCAAAGTCAAATCTTGTTTTAGTTTCCCAACAAGTTTGAAAAATAAGTCATTGCACAGTGAAATGAAAAATGACAAGAAAGGAGAAAAAAATAGAAGTAAGAAACAGAAAGAAGAGAGGTAAAAAAGGAGGGCCTGCAAGCCCTTTTTCGTAAGGCGTAATCAGGCCGTTTTAGACTTCGTAATTCGTAGGCAGCCTCCGCAAAAATCAACGTAATTCGTAATTGGACATTAGCCACAAATCGTAAAGTCGTAATCAGCTCTGAGACTTTAACGTAAGTCGTAATAGGCGGCGAATTTTGCGTAATTCGTAATCACTACCCCCCCTTGCAGGCCCTCAAAAAGAAGAGGGAAGAATGAAGGAAGGACAAAAACAATGAAGAGAAAATAGATGGGACTACATGTATGTTAAAAATGCTGGTGACTTCCCCTAAGGCTAAACATCACTGATCTTCCTTTATCTTATGATGTCACTTCTGCTTGAGATAAATTTATCCTGAAGATTAAAAGCCGCAGACAAAAATGGAAACCGATATGGAAATATTTAGGGCAGGAGATAAGTGTGATAAGAGCAGAATGTAGATTTGATAAACAATTTATTTGATTGTCCATCATCTGGGAAATTTGCCACTTTGTATGAAGAAACTGACAGCTGAACGGGTTACATAACCTTCATACTTTGATAAAATGGGACGAACTGTAATACAGTCATACATTCTAGTGCTTTAAGTACCAATTTAAAATACTGTATCATCTCTTATCATATATCTAGCTTTAAAGTACCTACAAAAACAACAAAGTTACTTCTAGTGATCTTCAGTAATAGACATGATACAGACCTTTACAAGGTCTGATAAGTGACTATGTGTAAAATTGTCACAGACAGTAGACAATAAATTTTACTCTTTGGGTAGGACACTGCGACGGCAGTGTGGTTTGGGACCAGTGATACTCTTACTATTGTTAGGTGGTAAGGCCTGTTTCTGATAGCTGGTGTACATATCAAAGACAAGAGAAGTCAGGACATTTAACTCTGTGGAGAAATGCACTGTCCCTTCTCTAGGGTTCACCAAGGCACTGCCTGGCGGCACTCTCAGATCTTTTTAATACCCCGAAAAGCTCATTTAAGTCGGGGGTATCAGTTTACCCTTAATATTGGGTTCCTTAATTGGGCTGACCTGTTAAATTAAGTGGCTGACAGGCAGGATGAGAGAAGGGCGTGGCTGCCATGGCGATGTGAAGCCTGTATTATGTGAGCCACAGGGGGTTTCAGGCATGGGAACTGCACACCCCTGGGCCGTTTTATGGGGGCCTGCATGCCCTTTTTCGTAAGGCGTAATCAAACCTTTTTAGTCTTCATAATCCATAGGCAGCCTTCTCAAAAATCAAGGTAATTCATAATCAGTACATTAGCCGCAAAGTGTAAAGTCGTAATCAGCTCTGAGACTTCAACGTAATCCGTAATCGGCGGCGAAAATTTTGCGTAATTCGTAATCACTAACCCCCCATGCAGGCCCTTTTTATCACAAATCTTAGACTTATTACCCCCGAAATGGACCCGTACAGATCTAGGTGAACCCTCGCGTTATTGAAGCGTGTTTCAACTTTCCTTCCTGTCATTAAATCTGCACGTTTTTGGAAACCAATTTTGTGTGAGTCATAAAAGTTGAACCGTGGTTCCTCCACAGTAAATGGTATTGAAACTTTGTAACTAAAATTGTAATGAAAAAAAAAAAGAAGATATAATGCATTATGTTAGGGACAATACAATTATGCATGTTGGTAAATTTTATGATTTCACAATGCCAAAATTTCTGTTCAAGTAATTTTAGTTGATAGAAAGAAACACTTAAGTATTATTAACCCTACTTTGAGAAGTTTAAATAGTGTAACATTGTGCTGTGTTCTGGACTAGTTCTGGACTTGTAAAAATGTTTCAAGGTTTAAGTAAAAAAAAAAAAAAACCTGAACGTCCGGAACTAGTTCAAAAACCATGCCACATTTCCCTTTTTGTTCTGATTCACCTGAAATCTTCAATAGTCAAAAATCTGCAATGCAAAATGAAGAAAACATTGCCATTGGGCATCATCAAGTGTTGGCCTCCGTAAATAATGTGGCCACAGTTTTGCCCAGATGTGCCCCGCAAACAACATATCTTGCTTCTAAGCCCTGGTAGTGCAGTGCTCGCTACAAAATTTTGCGGTTAAGATGCTCCATTTTCCATTGGGAAATGTTAACTCAGAAGTCCCTTCTGTATTTTGTATATGCCCTGGGTTTAGGTCCGAACTTATATAAGTCCGGACCTGAACCTAAACTTCTGAACTTGAATCCGGACCAGAACCTGAATGTGGATTGAGGCACTACTGGCGCAGGTGGCTTTCATGTACAAAAACACACCTGCTACAGATTGGGCCTCCTAACTCAGAAAACCAAAGGAGGATTTCTACAGTCAGTATTACAACCTCTGCTAAGGTTATGTTTTTACCAACTGATTGGTGTGTTTAGTTTATGAAAAGGATAATTCTAAAAAAAAAGGCAGTAACAGGTCTTCATGACATTTTTGCACTAGCTTTTTGGGACATAGCTAACTTCCAAATCTGGCGTGATAAATTCTTGTTAGGATTTTATATAATGCAGATACTGTTACAGTAATACAATGTATTATCATTCTTATTCAAAGGTGACAAAGCTGCGAGTCTTGACACCTACACCTAGAAACATCATACGCACCTGTCTCAGATGTCCGTCTACACACTGTACCAGTTACGCATCTGTGAGCATCTTGCACCTGTTTCAGGATTTACTTCAGGAGATGCCCCCCTCCCACACAATTCAATGATAAACCTCTTCTGTGTTCTACTTTTCGACCAAAATGGGATACATGCTTTACAAAGAGACGGTTGTGGTACAGATTAACCCTTCCTTGCTATAGCAGCCATTTGGCGCCAAATTTGTATTGTTTATTGGATCAGGGAGCAGCAACATGGTTAAAGAACTAATACATGTATCTACATGTTACAGAATATCTACCTTTATTGTTGCCGCTGACATATATTGAAAAGTTTATTGCAAATTCTTGCCCGGAGGCTAATTGCAAATTACAAAACATAAAAGAACAATGAAATAGAGTATAAAATAACTAAAGTCAACATGATGAAGGTAGCTGTCTAGAACTATAACTATGTCTAAAACTATGTCTGAAGGGTTTGACTTCTCTTCTGTAAACCATGGAAGACGTAATGTCCCACCTTTTCCAAAATTTGTGGGTTTTGGGAAGTTAAAAGAAGAATAGTTTTTTCTTGGTCTTTATATTCTGTACATAGTTTGCCGCATACATATATTCTGTACGTAGGATGACTTTTTAGCTTTGCTTAAGATCTTAAGTTGTAGAAGACCATACAAAAAAGCTGTACATTTGTTGAGCCAACAAAGAATCTTATATTAGATAAAACACAAAAACTACGCCCTATTGGGGTTTGGGTTGGCGTTAGAAAGGGCATCCAGCCGTAAAAATCTTGCTTCAACAAAAACCCCCGGTTCGGGGAAAAATGACATTAAAACGGTTAAAAAAAGGGGGGGGGCAGAGTACAGAAGGAAATATACTCCTATGTACTTCTGTGTAGTTTATTTGTGACTAACAAACGACCATGCCATGTACTTTGACTAAACTACAGGCCTCAACATTGGTTTGTCTAATGAGCATCACGTCCCTTTGTGCTGGTCTTGGTCCAACAGTTACATTTCAAAACAGCGTCATCTCCAATGGCTACAAAGCCTTGAACTTCGTCATTCCAAAGGTACCATCATTACAAAGGGTTTTCCAGGTATTAAGTCTGTAATCCTAACCTTTGATAAAAGGGATTTTTGCATAACTAGTCAGCCTTTGAATCTAGTCTTCAAAGCCGGTATCTGTGAATTGGTGTGTAGGCAAAAGTTGTGTCAAGATTTTTTCTTCTGTACAAAAAAAATCGGGATTTCCAGTACGCCTTCTTTAACTAGTTTAAGTTAACATGGACGATAAGGCCACACCAAGTAATTTTTATGGATGACATCCACATACGCATTGATTTTGGTCTGTTCTCAGAAAAAAAAAAAAGAAATTCCACTTCCTATGACTATGACCAGAGAGTCACTATGGTGCGGCAAATTGTAAGATTAACATAAAACTAATGCGAAATGGGTACATGAGCAAAGAAACAGGACAGGACAGCAACTGCTGTTCCACTGATTTATTGCTGTTTTCATGACGACTAAAAGACTTTGGTTGTTACACTGGGTTCTCTCATTCAATTTGTGTCCTAACATTTCTTGTCCCTTAGTATATTTCAAATCTAGGCATTTTGTTTTCTTCAGCCCTTGTATTTTTTTCGCCCTCTCGCATTAGATTTAGTGTCTCCAGAGGACGTCATCCATTAAAATGACTTGGTGTGGCCTAATGAGGTGACAGCGGTGTTGTCTCACCAGGACACAAATGGGGAGAAATGAGAGGTTGGCAGCACCTGTGCCGCCCTAACGAAGCATTAATGCTGATACACTGTTATCTGTAACAACCTCTGTCTGCTTTGTTTTCAGATGAAGGCACCGATTCACAGTGTCATCTATCTGCATGGATGGACAGATTAGGACGGAGGAATGACAGAAGGAAGGAAAGGAGAGATTGAGGTAAGGAGCACGAGAGGAAAGACATGAGAAGAAGATGGTGGAAATAAGAAAGACAGGGATGCCATCGTATTTGTATTCTGGGCTTCCATACTTGCTCCCTAAAATCTGACCGGATAGTCAAATGGCAAAGTATGTAACCATACTATGTTTTCAGGCCAGTGAGTATAATAAACTCTATTAATAATAGTTCCCTAAAGTCCCCAATAGCAAATCAGATAGCAACCAGGCTAGTAGGACTAAGTGAGTTAAAGGAAAGAAGGGAATCAATATATGGGAAAAGAAGCACGTCGGCAGAACGTACTGCGCCTGCACAGAACCCCGTATTTTCGCGTTTTTCGTTGGGTTTTTGGTCAACGTTGCATCAGAATTTTGCCTGTTGCAGAGGGTATTCTTTCCGACATAACATTTGGAAACTACTGTCGAAATGCTAACCTTATATGAGCAAATACAACCTTATATGAGACATTCTGCCAAAATGCTATGTACATATAGAATACAACACGGTGTATTCCGTACCGCCCGAGGTACCAGCCCGACCGCGCGTCGGATCGCCCGACGGCCGAAGGCCGGAGGGAGATCCAATCCGCGGGAGGGCTGGGACCGAGGGTGATGCGGAATACACCGTGTTGTATTTTATTTATGTCATACCCACCCAAGAAAACACGCCTTTCAATGCGAAATGAGCGAAAATTCGGCGTCCGTAAGCCCACTAAAACGCAACAGCATCCAAAGTTTGTATTCGAATTTTCGAAAGCGGTGCACACGGTTAGGGCGAAACGTGTTCGAATCTTTCTATGGAACATTTGGAAGGCCCGGGCCGTACGGGTTTAGAACCCCCAGGCCGTACGGATAGTTATCACACGGGCCGGAACACCCGTATCGAACGTAATCGCGGCCCAGGTAGGACATAAAATACATTACGGGTTTCCCGCAGGTGCAGTACATTCTGCCGACGTGCTGGGAAAAGAGAGGGAGAAAGGAAGGATTGACCAATGAAGACAACACTGACCACCATCTTTACCTGATTCAGAGTCGGAGTCTGAACCACTCGAACTGCTGGAACTTGAACTTTGACCCTTCTCATCCTCACTCCCAGAATCCTCTGCACCATCGGCATCAGGAATTCGAGTAAAAGGACTGGAAGCAGCTGTAAAAAAAAAAAAAGAATTCAACAAATTAGGGAATAGGAAACATTTTGGGGCTTACAATAGAATATTATTGTGTTTACCGAAGGAAAACATATTGTTTTTGCTCAGTTTCTTCCTCTTCTTCTTCTCCAAACAGTGACCTCTGACCTGACCAATGACATGATTTGTTGATGTCTGTCACCATGGTGACTGGTGTTGGGTTACATAATGTTGCAATTTCATGGTCTGCTCTGCTCCTGTCACCATATATATACTAGTACCGGTAGTACATGTATGCAAATGTGTTTGAGTAAGAATTAAATAATAATATGATTCTAAGTTCAATTGCAAGCCTTTTAGAGTACAAAACATTGTCTTGGTAACATATCCTGTTTCTTACATGGTCTTGCAAGCAGATATCAGGTAAGATTTAAGGCTATCCTTAGGCAAGGATTTTCTTTTACACCTAATGACCTAACATCAAGGTGTCTGTAAACTGAGGGCAATACCAGCAACAGGTCTGACTGTCACAGAAACTTGGCATATTCTATATTGTTCTGTAATACCAGTAAGCAGTGCACTCATATTTTGTGGATGGACATAAAGTATTGTTGTGGGCTGGTCAGGAAAAAGTGAGAAAATGCTATTAGAAATGTTAAAAAGTGAGAAAATGCTACTAGAAATGTTTTCAACACAAATAACTGAAATGGGCAGGAAAAAAATCTGAACCTGAAAAAAAAACTATGTACACATGCCTTTTGACAAACATCATTTTTTGACTAAAAGTTTAAACCTTCAGCTTCTAATTGCAATAATCGCTTACACCGTTACATAACAAGATGTTTTCTAATCTTTTTTTCCCCAGACAGATTCCTGGTAGACACTCATTACCTTAGAAGACTTAGAAATGCTTCTGAAAGTCCCAAGGCACAACTGTGGACTTCTGCCCATTACAACAATTCCACAAAGAGATGGAAAAATGCCCCTTGGGTGATAGAGCTTCTGCGTTATTGGATTTACAAAATGTATGTAAGATTGTTTCATTCTGTGTTTTTTTTGGTCCTTTTTCGCTTTAACTTCTTCACCTTATATACCCTTTACTGAATGTTATGTTTTGTTTAGATCACATAAATGTGCTTTGATTTGTTTTGTCCATTTCTTAACCAAATTAAAGGAGTTGTGACTTGGACTTTTTCAGAAGTCGACCAGAGAGCAACCTTGGTCTAAAAATAAGTTGCGAAGACAGGCCTTACTTTTTGATCATGAAAACTACATACAATTGACATTGTTAGCTGTCTCCTTTTTAGTGACCCTTTTTAAAACAAGAGCCCCCTAAACAACGGCCAGGAAAATGCTGGTACAGTAAGATCAATCTAGAGACTTATTGCTGGGAATGACTTCTGCTCATATGTTTTGAATCAGAAGGTTTTTAATTTTGCCTGATTTCTTTGAGTCCTTGATTGCTTCTGACAAGTTATAGACTGAGAGCCTCTGGTTATCTGCTTCTGTGGGCCAATTTATGGAAACTTCATGGTTTTAAGAGGGCCTGCAAGCCCTTTTTCGTAAGGCGTAATCAGGCCGTATTAGACTTCGTAATTCGTAGGCAGCCTCCGCAAAAATCAACGTAATTCGTAATTGGACATTAGCCGCAAATCGTAAAGTCGTAATCAGCTCTGAGACTTTAACGTAATTCGTAATAGGCGGCGAAAATTTTGCGTAATTCGTAATCACTACCCCCCTTGCAGGCCCTCTTTTAATACATCCAGCAAGCAAAGTGGTGGTCGTGTGGCGTAGCGGTAGCGTGTTCAGCTCGGAACTAAGTGGTCCCGGGTTCGAACCCTACCTTGTCACCAATCTTGTGCCCTTGGGAGAGGCACTTAACACAACTTTCCTCACTTCACTCAGGTGAAAATGAGTATGCCAGAAGGATCATTATCATGATCGTGGGCATTAAAATGAAAACCAAAACCAAAGAGGACTTTTGGTAAACTGTAATTTCCTTTTAACTGACATTGTTATACAACGGTAGTTTCTTTTTGTACCAGTTAACTATGTCTGTTCATCTTGTTTTGTTGTGATCTGTACTTAGCCAAGTGTGGCAAAAATGTGCAATAAAGGTTCATTCATTCAAGTCATTCATTCATTATGCAAACATTCGAAAAAGTATTGCAACAATGCTCTAGGACATTGTAGTTTTCCTGAGCTTACTAGTACCAGGAAAATACGCACTTATGTTATGCTACAGAAACTTTGTGCATTACAACGCTTTGGAGTAGTGCTGTACCTAAACCCACATTTAGGTTCAGGTCCAGATTCAGGTCCAGAGGTTTAGGTTCAGTTCTGGACTCATAAGTACCGACCTAAAACCATGGAAAACTGTGGCCACATAATATGGAGACCGACACTTGACAATGCCCGATGGCAATGTTTTCTTCATTTTGCAGCACAGACTTTGCAATCTATGGAAATTCAATGTTTTCGGTGGTTTGGAAAGAAATGGGGTATATGTGACATGTTTTTTTTTTTGTAATAAGTCCGGAATCAGTTCTTGACTTCTAGGTTTTTTCGGACTTGAATCTAAACATTTTCACAAGTCCAGATCCGGTCCAGCAAACCGGTACACAGTACTAGTCCAGCAAACCGGTACACAGCACTACTTTGGAGACACCGGACTTCAAACCACGAGATCCAATTATCAGGGCCTGCAGTCAACCTTGATTTGGAAAGAGTTGCCCAGATATTTGTTTCACAGTGGGACACTGCTCTAGGCACAACGGCTCTCGCTTTGATGTGGATCCAACCTCACCTCAGCTTCACAGTACTGTATTGCACTTAATGTTCGCCGTAGCAAAAGTTCACGGTCTGAGAAAAATGGAGGTCTATATGTGTTCGAGGTGGCAGCAGGTGCAGGAAAAAGAAAGTCGGTGATAACACTGAAGTGACCGCAAAAACTACCAACACGAAAGTACGGATAAAAAAATCAGGAATTACAGAACTGCAAGTCGTGAAATATTCACTGTGGTTTGATGTTCATAATGACTTCTACTTGCCAACTCATCACACAAATGCTTCATGAACAAATGCTTTATCTAAAATAATTGTTCTTTTAACTACAAAATTAAAACATATGCAGAGAGTGCCTCTTTTCCCCTATAATCGCAAAATAAAATCCCTGCCAACTTACAGTAATTCAGGCCCTACAATCTGAACACAGGCTTGATTTCCAATAGTCGATGTTTCAAAATTTAGTACCAATAAACAAGAAACAAATGGCAGAGAATGGCGTACTCTGGAACTTGGAAGAGAATTTACTACATCATAAAATTCTAATGGTAAAATAATTGTCGCTGTTATTGCTTGAGTGGAGTTGTGTAGGAGTGTCCTGGCCTTTGCTTACCCCACTTCGTTATATGAATTAGGAGAAGTGGCCTGAAGTAGTTTTTATGGCCAAGGATTGGGTTACAACAGGGTTGTGCACCTGTTTGGCCATTAGGTCTAGGAGCTGAACATTGTACAGGGCTCCAGACTACCTTTTTGACTTAGAAGTACAGGGTTCTAGCTAGCGCGAAGTAGCGTAGGGGCCCCCTACGCTATAATTTTGACCCCCGACGCTAAATTTCCCCCCTACGCTAATTTCAATACAGCATAGGGGCATTGTGACTGTATTTCTTTGTTCAAAAATGCCAGATCAAATGTGAAAAATTACCAATCAAGGATACTATTTGTACATACCTTAGAAATAACATTTTTTTCCTTTTGGGTATCCCTAAAATGGCCTCTTTTTTAGCCCAAATTTTTAAAAGCTCTTCGGAAGAGGGGCACATGCAGCCAATGTCACTATGATAATATCAAATCCTAGCTAGAACCCTGAAGTACTGGTGCTCCCACCCGAAACAATCAGGCACACCAGCTACAATTTATTCTGCAGCACATAATCTGTAGCCTGGGTACCATCCTGGTTAGTATACGTCTGCTCCCACATAGCTAGCCACCCTCATAAAAAAGGGAGCGACTGTGGGAGCGGACGTAAGCTAACCAGGATGGTACCCAGGCTACATAATCTGTGCCCAGGCCATGATTTTTGCCTAAATTATTGTCTGATTATGAGATGTACCCTTGTGACCATCATTTCAAATTAAGTTGCATGACTGTTTTTTAGTCACAGTCCGGAGCCCTGATTATAAATGAGGGCCGGCAAGCCCTTTTTCGTAAGGCGTAATTAGGCCTTTTTAGACTTCGTAATTCGTAGGCAGCCTCCGCAAAAATCAACGTAATTCGTAATAGGACATTAGCCACAAATCGTAAAGTCGTAATCAGCTCTGTGACTTAAACGTAATTCGTAATCTGCGGCGAAAATTTTGCGTAATTCGTAATCAATACCCCCCCATGCAGGCCCTCATAAATGTAAGTACTTCTTCTAAATCTCAATCTTAATCAGAATTTTTGGACGAAAAAAAATAAATGGTCAACATTTTGAGAACTATAACTACAAACTAAATGCAGTTTTCCCGAAGTTCAAGTCTACCATAATTAAACCTTGTTTGTGAAACACAAATGAGCCACCAATGGGGGCCCGCATGCCCTTTTCCGCAGAGCGTAATGGGCCATTTTAATTCTACGTAGAGTGTAGACGGATCGTTCTTGTCTTCAATGTAGAGCGTAATTGGCGCGTTTTGCGTAGAGCGTATTTGCCGTTTTAATTCTGCGTAATGCGTTGTAGCCACTTGGTATTTATCGTAAAGCGTAATCGAGAGGTTTACGATTTCAGCGTAGAGCGTCGTCGGGACCCCCCCATGCAGGCCCCTACCAATGGCCAGGAGCATTCCGTTTGAAGTCGGAGATTTCCATCAACTAAATTAGCCTGACTGTGAGAGATGGGCTCCTCCAGGGGTTGTGTAATCATCGCTTTATATCAAAGTCTGTGGGATAGACTGGGACTAGTCAGAAACAACGACTGGAGGGCTGTGTATGCTCACTGGAAAATTGTTGACTTCAAATGATCATCCTTGGGGAGAAAAGCAACATTTATGTTTCACACACACACAATTTAAGTAGATAGACGGAAACTTATATGGGGGCCCGCAAGCCCTTTTCCGTAGAGCGTAATCAGCCGTTTTAACTCTACGTAGAGCGTAGACCGACCGCTCTAATATTTTTGCGTAGAGTGTATTCGCCATTTTAATTCTATGTAATGCGTTGTAGCTACTTGGTACTATCGTAAAGCGTAATCGAGAGGTTTCCGAATTCAGCGTAGAGCGTTGTCCGGGGACCCCCCCCCCCCTCGCAGGCCCTCTTATATGTCATCAGTAAAGCTAGAATAAAAAAAAAAGGAAAAAGAAAACAGCAACTTTCCCTGCACTTTTTGTTCTTCATGATTTCCCCCTCTTTTGTGCAGGGGTATAAAGTCTCTGACTGGGATCACCAGTCTCACCAATTGTTGTAAACCTGTACCTGTAGAAGTTTGAAAACAAAGCCCTCAGCACTTTCAATGACATTCCTCCGGCCAACTGGTTTCGATATGTAGATGACACTTGGTGCAGATTGAAAAAGAGGGTAGCTGCTGACTTCTTTGACCACATCAACCAGATAGATGACAACATCAAGTTCACACAGGAGCCAAGCCATGACAACATGCTCCCTTTCCTAGACACCAAAACTATCGTAGAGGAAGATGGTAACCTTCGTTTCGAAGTGTACAGGAAACCAACCCACACTGATCAATACCTGGCTTTTGATTCCCACCACCCTTTGGAACACAGACTAGCAGTGATCAAAACTCTCTTCCATCGTGCAGACAACATTGTCACTTCAGACCAAGCCAAAACGGACGAACAAAGACACCTCCGAGGTGGCCCTGGCTAAATGTGGCTACCAAAACTGGACTTTCAACAAAGCGCTCAAACCTTCAGATCAGTCTAAGAAAACCCAGAAGTGCAAACCATTGACCAACAAAAACAAGGCCAACATCACTATTCCGTATGTCCAAGGAGTATCTGAGAAACTCCGACGGATCTTCCAAAACTTCAACATAGCCACTAACTGCAAACCTCACTCAACCCTCAGACAAAGACTGGTACACCCTAAGGACCGACCTCAGAAGGGTACCAAGGCGAATGTTATTTACAGACTCAAATGTGAGGAGCCCAATTGTAACAACACCTACATCGGAGAGACAAGTCGACCGCTTAAAGTAAGGTACAAAGAACATTGCCGACCGAGTGCCAACGGCTACTCCTCAGCTATTTTCCACCACCTACAACACAACCAGGGTCACTCTTTCAAACTCGAGTCCACGGATGTCTTAGACCGCGAAACACGCTGGTGGGAACGGGGTGTTAAAGAAGCAATATATGAAAGAATGTACAACCCCACCCTCAACAGGGAAGGGGGGCTACGGGTCGATCTTTCCGGCACTTGGGATTTGGCACTCCCAGCCCCGAGGACAGACAACACTTAAGCTCCTGTCCTGTATAACAGGAGCTTTCAGACTAATTTGCATCATCTTGTCTTGACTTGTCTGACTTTTGTTCCTTTTTCGACTTCCAAAAATTTGTCTTCACTTTATTTGCATATCAATCAACAGGTTGTGTATATAAACCTGCTTTCCCCTCTGGTCTCTCAGTCACTGACGAAAGCTAGTGGATACTAGCTGAAACGTCTGACCTTTTCAAAATCATATCCAGTTGCTTGAGTAACTGTTTTTTGGCATATCGTATTACCTGGATGTCTAACCTTCATCGACGAAAGTCTCTGATATATTGTAAGAAACACGTGGTGAGAAGCAGGCATAAATTGTGGACATGATTAAGTATGCTAAGCAGTACGAAGCTTATGTTACCTTTAATTGCCACACATTTGTACAGACTGGTGGTCCCTTTGATAATTTTTCACATTGGCCAAAGAAAGAAGATACAGTCAAACCTGTACAAGTGACCACCTGTACATAAGGACCACCTGGCCAATGAGACCACTTTTTGGTGGTCCCTCATAACAATCTTTCCCATAGACACAAGAATTAAGAATCCTGTCTATAGTGACCACCTGTACGGGTCATACTATAAACTGTTAAGAAACCATGGCCATTATTTCTTTTATTATGTTTACCGAAGGAAAACAATATTGTTTTTACTCAATTTCCTCTTCCTCTTCTTCTTCTCCAAACACTAACCTCTGACCTGGCCAATGACATGATTTGTTGACGTCTGTCACCATAGTAACTGGTGTTGGGTTACATAATGTTGCAAACTTCATGGTCTGCTCTGCTCCTGTCACCATATACTAGTAGTGCATGTATGTGAATATGTTTGAGTAAAAATTAACAGGGCAGACCATGTCCGAAGGTAAATATTATGCATTTGCTTTGCAAATGTTACTTACGTAACACACCAGCGAAGCTGGTGTGTTACGCCGAAAGGCGGTTATACCGGCTATACAGATACAGATACAGATACTTCTCTAGTACTTAGAGGTTAGGTTAGGTGCAGGTAGACATCAGAAATATCTACACAGGTCCTATTTTACCTGCATATGTAGGTAGGATTTTGAGCCATGTATCTTAAAACTGCATAGACGTTTGGTCCAATTCTTAATTAGAATTACTAGTGTGTAAAATAGTGCTGCATACCGGTTCACTGGACTTGGATCCGGACTTGTAAGAATGTTTAGGTTCAAGTCCAAAAAAACCTAAAAGTCAAGAACCGAGTCTGGACTTATTACCATAAAAGACCATTTCACATACCCCTTTTCTTTCCAAACCACCTAAAACCTTCCGTAGATTGCAAAATCTTTGCTGCAAAACAAAGAAAACATTGCCATCGGGCATCGTCAAGTACCGGCCTCCATGTTGTGTGGCCAAAGTTTCACCCAGACAACATTGCAAGGTTGCCAACATGCAATTTTGTATATGCCATTGGTATAGGTCCGGACTTACAAGTCCGGAACTGAACCTAAACCTCTGGACTTGAATCCGGACCTGAACCTAAAATTGGGTTTAGGTATACATCACTAGTGTAAAATGTGTTTACCTTGTTCAGGAGATGACAATGTCTGTAGGGGGGAGTCCGGTGGTGACTCTTTCCTTGCTGTTTTGCTGGGAGGGGGGTTGGTGCTACTTGGAGGTGGGGGGTGACTGCTGCTGGCTTGGTTAGGTGTGCTTGGTCTCAGTCCTGCTGGGAGTTGTTTACTTTTACCTTCCAATCTGGAAGTAGATCAAAACAAGGACATAATTTTAAGGCCTAGGGAAAAACATGTTGAGTTTCCTGTTTCCCAACCGACCCTAGAAAAAAATTCCTGACCCTAGCCTTTTTTTTGGTGGACCTACAAGGGACATAAATTTTTCAAGCTGATCGACCTTTTCTAGCTCCATGATCTGACACCTGAGTGGTGAAACGTTGTACAATCGGGTTTCCAACATTGACATTGAAAATATAAACTTGTGTCCTCATGCAAGTTTTACTTTGTTAAACTGTATAATTGTATAAGCTGGATCACTAGAGATGGCAAAAGTCTAATAAAAAAAGAACCAGGAAACACAACTAGACATATACATGTAAGGTTAAGCTACTATAGCTTAGTTTCCAACGAACATTTCAAAACTCTTGTAAATGGAAATTTCTGTGTACATGTATTCAAAAGATATTCTCCTGAACTTATGATGACTTAAATCAACTCAAATCAAGAATCTCAAATGCTATAATATGTTCAGTCTAGCTTGTGACTTATGATCTAAGTTGCACCTCGTCGTGGCGTCGGGTGGCGTAGTGGTAGATCATTCGACTGTGAACCGTGAGACCCGGGTTCGATCCCGAGTTGTACCCGGGACATGTCTTGACATGCACCCGGCGTTGTGTCCTTGGGAAATGCACTTTACACGACATTCCTCACTCCACCCAGGTGTGAATGGGTACCTAACTACGGTTGGGGAAAGCCGTATTGAGGTCACCTTGTGGCGCCGAATGGCAGCCGCACAGAACCTTGTGGCAGTTCCACAAAAATGTGGAACAAATATGTATCATGTGTATTATGTGTATTATTATGTGTATTATTACCATTTGTATCATATGATTGTAAGCCCTGCATCAATTCAGCACTATAAGGCTGCGATTGCACGGGTGATGTTTGGCCAATAAACCATTTATTATTATTATAAGTAATGTGATCCTTTCACAGTAACTGCAGTGTAATTTTCAGGAAATTTAGACACCAGTACTGACCTTGTTTTCTTCACTTGCATGTTGCTTGTCAGCTTTTCTAAGGTGAATGTCCCAGAGTTTGGGTCGATCAGGAGAACACAATCCTTACTTCTGTACGGCTGCTTGTGTCCCTTGAATACTGTTTTACTTGTACCTGAGCCCTGGGTAGGAATGAGACATAAAGACATCAACAATAGAACAATGGATCCAACACTCAAAATTCACATCTTTGCTCTTATGGCTGGATGGCTCCTATCATGCCATTTGGGGCTATCACAGGATGCCTTTATTTTTATTTTTTCACCCTGTCGCTTCATATTCTTTCTGAAAAAATCCGACTCCGAGAACCAACAAATCAAATTGGTGTGGCCTTAAAGTGTGTCATTTGCAACTTGAAAAGGTTATAGAAAAAACTGTGAAAGTTTGAAGGTTTCCAGTATTGAACTGTCAACATTAGGCCACAGCAAGTAAATTTTATGGCTAACATACTCCGCACACTCCAAATCTAATGCGAGCGGGCGAAAAAAAAACAAGGCGGGCCAAAAAAAAACAAGGTTACAACATTTTCAAATTTTGACTCAAACATTGTACAAATGGTTTTTATATAAGTGGGAACATCACATATACACAGCCACAATCACATATCAAAGTAAGAAACAAAACATTATCAGAGCCTTTTCTTGTCTCCTCTCTTCATATTCATCTGCCATCCACGTTCCAGCATGGCAACAGACATCTTTGCCCATTTTAGACATGTTGTCCACTGTCAGAGGGCAACAAAATTTCCTATTTTCTTTTCCAAAATCAGGCGATAATTAATGCGTGTGCTGATGTCATCCATAGAAATTACTTGCTGTGGCCTAATGAACATTACCTCAATATGTGGGACGGTCACTGTGACATCATTGTTCTCTCCTACTTCCAGCACTGCATCCTGGGAAGTATCCACGGATGCCGGTTTGAAGTCATCTGTTTTTTAGTCATAATTGGAGGGAAAAAATTACAAAATTGATATAATACAACAGTCAAGACAAGAGTGAAATGGGGATATACATGTACCAGTATTTTTAATTTGATATATTACAGAATCACTGGGGGAAAATTTTGAACTTTCATATGGGAAGAGGAAATACACCCCCTCCCATACTACCAAATTATGAGGGCCTGCATGCCTTTTTTTATAAAGCGTAATCAGGCCTTTTTATAAATTATATAATAGGGAAAAATATTGCGTAATTCGTTACCCCCCATGCAGACCCTCACCAATGAAACAGCTGATGACAAAAATTACTAGTATGCTAAGCATTATAGGACAAACTGACGGTCAGCATAATATATTTTCAGGATCCTGATACTTGTAGAAAGTATGCTATACAATGTATAATGTTATCAGTTCTTAACAATATCACAATCAAACCTCCAATACTATCCGCAAACCACACTATAACTGCTAGAAGAAAAATTATGATGAGTTTTAAGTTGACTCACATCTGATGGTGTGAAAGGCACATTTTGGAGTCCTGTCAAACGACTTGCCGATCTCTAACTCGTGTACTTTGTCGTCCAACACCAGACCGCCTCGAGGTTCGGCCATGCCGGGGCCAAAAACGCAAAAATCGGCCAGAAAAATATCAACAGCTGTTTCTTCCGTCTGTGTGTGCGCGAGGAAAAATAATGCAAGCCATGGACGAGTGCATTCAAGAATAGGGGAGTCTTCACAGCAGTTTACATAATAAATATCATCCATAGAGACACATTATTCTATATTTTCTTATTAAAGAGGACAATAAAATTAAGATTTATATAATTAAAAGCTATATTGTTATGATTTAGTGCCTAATCTGTGACAATTTTGATACTAAGGACCCTTCAGGACAGTGTGTTGCTCTAGAGGTCAGAGTTCGCAAAATGGCGGTAAATGAGAGGAAGTGATCATCTTTCGCGTGTATTTCTGAGAATTATGCTTCTTCTGTTTCTTCCTGATGAGATGTGCATACTTAATATGGTTTGAAGTCTTAGACTTTGTCTCCTCCTGTCACCTTCTTGAAGTAAACTTGTAAGGAACTCGATAGATCTGGGGTCTCGCGTTGAAGTTCCTAGTCCCTCGTGGTCTTTGGTACGTATAAAAATTATGCTCGGTTATTGATCAAATATGACCTGTTATTTGAAAAACTTAACTGTTTATGATAATAAGTATGTTCAAGACTATATACTGCAGATATCCCCAGTGTCAAAGATGAAGCCCCCCTCCCCCGAGAACATATTATAAACATGTCTGGACAAGTATAAGGCATAGTGTGCAGGCTCTAGTGTGACGTGTTTTGTTTACGTCTAGGGGCAGTCACCTTTGACAAAAATTTGGGCATGTGCACAGTCATAATCGTGAGTCTCCTTATTGTAAGGCCTTACTTTTTGCTCAGTTTCCTCTTCTCAAAACACAGAAGGTCAATGACCTGGGCCAGACAGTCTATCACCATGGTAACTGGTGTTGGGTTACATCATGTTGCAATTTTATAGCAGGAGGGATTTAGACTCCTGTCACCATTTTAATATATGAATGTGTTTGAGCAAGGGCATTGTAGTATAATGTCCTTGATATACTCAAGTAATAATACACATGATAGACACCTTCACGATCAGGGGTTAGTACAGATGAGTGCACGACAATGAGATTTTGTTGAATTGATAATGTGACTTTTCTTATTTTCAATTATTACTACTATGTTGTACCATTTCCTAAGTTACTCGGAATTTGACCTCTGGCCCTCCAAAGACCACTGACCAACTGTTGTGTTTAATTTATGTTAATTTAATTTATGTTATATTATCTTTTCTGTATTCTTGTTTGCATTATATTCTTGTTTATTTATTATGGGCTCTCTTGGAAATCAGCCCCTCGGGGCTGAAGAGACTACCCATATGTTGTTAAGATAAATAAATAAATAAAAAACTTCCATGTATGTTGATCAATTGCATTATATCATGAGAAAAAGGCATTATTATAACCTGACTGGTAATGTTAATTTTGGGTACTGTATTAGCATTTGTGTGTATTTGTGTGTGTGTGTCTTTTATTCTCACTTGTAATAGTTGTTTTATGTCTTTCAGTGATAAAAGAGTTGGATCATCAATTTACATTGTGTATGCATGATGGAGGATTCCTGCACTCCAGCTTTTGTGGAGGCCCCATTTCAGAGGAAGGACAGTGCCCACCCCAGAACACTGACAGAGGAAGACAGAGACAGGTTAAAGAAACAGGACAACAAGATTGTCTCAGACTTCAAGCAGAAGAAACTGGAGAAGGAGGCCCAGAGAAACTGGGACCTGTTCTACAAAAGGAACTCCACAAACTTCTTTAAGGACCGACACTGGACAGCCCGAGAGTTTGAGGAACTAGCCAACACTAGTCAGAAGGTGTCAATTTCATCCCTCATAGTTTTCTTATTCTTGATGTGCATCAGTATGCTATCTACATTTCTAGTAGGTTCAGAGGTCTCATAAAAAGTTATTGATTTTGTGCAAATAGGTATACCTTGTATAGAAAAAAACTTAAAAGAGTCAACCCATAACATTGCTTTCTTTGTAGGCACATAGCGACAGTAGTTGGTGATACATGTATTCTTGATTATTCTGGTACATTTAATGAATTGTTATACCTTAGCCATGCATATACATGTATGTGTACAAATTTGTATTTCTATAAGTCCAAATGTGGACTAGGATTGGCAAGAAGTTATGTTCTTACTCCTGAAAGTTTTCTTAGACACAGCTCTACTACAATTGAAGGTACCCTTGCAGTTTCTTTATGGAGACAACTTGAGTTGTTTTTGTTTTTTCCAGGACACTCCTGTAGTCCTGGGCCTAGGAAAAAAAATGTTGTGTTTCCGGTTACCCGACCGACCCTATGAAAAACCCCCCGACCCTAGCCTTTTTTGGGCCGACCAAAAATTTCGAGCGGCTAGCGGTCGGTTTTCAAAATTGGGGATTTTATCCCCGATAAATGTGCTCGTCATTCCAATTTTCTTCGGTCGGGCGGCGTGGATCGAGCGCTAATTGCACGGATCGGGCCGCTATTCAATTCCATTGTCAGCACAATCCTGTGTGACGATGAATTGTCGATCTCGCCATGACGCCACAAAGAAAACGTTGTCATTGGTAGAAAATCTGACACCCCGCTGGCGTTTCACAACAAAATTTTCATGTAAACAACTCCGACTGTCTTTGTTTACATCGCGAAAGCTCACCGATACAAAGTAAAACTCCCGCCGGCCGGCCGCGCCCGATCGCATGGTTGCGGCATGGCGCTAAGTTTTCGGCAGCTCGACAGAAAAATAATCCATCCCCAGAAGAAATGTTACGCATGAAAATAACAACTACAACTTGTTTTCCTCGTTATATGAGTTTTTGAGGCCGTAAAATGTTTAAAACGGTTGAAATTTGCTCGAAAAAACGGCTCGAAAATTCACGGCGAGAAAGACAACATGGCCGACCTGTTTTCACAATAACAATGGTCAAAGGTCAAGATAGCATCCAAATGTATAGATACATGTAATAAGTACATATTACAGTGCTAAAACGATACTTTAAACGCATGAAAGATATTTTTTTCGGCTACAACTGAAATAAAAATTCAGTTATATTTTAGTAAGGTTAATTTTCAAACATTACTGAGAAATTTTCCGAATTAATTGGTTTCTTGTGTAATATTGTTGTTTCTATGTATGTGCGGTTGGATGCTGTCATTGTAAAGACCCTTTACATATTGGGAGAATCAGATGAGATATTAGAGATTATCACGCTTAGTACCGTGACCCGAGTGTCTCTCAAAAATTGTTTTTGAGTGGAGTTTATAAACATGATCACATTTTTATTTGTTCAGCTGTGTCAATATGTGATTTGTTTGAGAAATAGGATTTGGTTTAGTTTTTAATATATTAATGTCAGTTAACATCTTTGGAATAAATTGCTCCAAGTTCCAGGTAGTAAATACATGTACATTTTGTATCATGTATTTTTCACTTGTTGAACTTGTGGAAGCACCGTTGGCCCCCGGTTAGGGGTCATCCGGGGAACCTATGCCCAATTTTTTCAAAATTAAGGGTAGAATTTTTTTTGAACATGAGGATAATTAAGTACAGATCTTGAACCTTTCTACTGCCTTATACATCTGCAGTTGTACAGAAAATGTAGAACTGAAGTTGCAGGAAATGACCTCCATTTGTGTTTGGAAAAGACAAAATGCAATAGCTTCCCCCCCCCTCCAGACCTCCCCCCCGCCGCCCGCTCCTCCACCCTGCTCTGAATTTCTGGGGAGATCCCTGTCTGTGTAGTACAAACAGATCATACGTTCATTGTCCCGGCTTTGATTAAAAAAAAAAAAAAAAAAAAAAAGTGAATCCCTACCTACCGACCCTAATTTTTTCTGGACTGTAATAGGAAACACAACATTTATTTTGTTAGGCCCTGCTGGAGGCTGGCTGTGGGGTGGGAAACTTTCTCTTCCCTTTACTGCAGGAGAACCCTTACCTCTTCATCCATGCCTGCGACTTCTCACCCAGAGCTGTGCAGTTCGTTAAGGTTTGTTTGTTTGTTGTTTGGTTGCTTGTTTTGCATAACCAGTAAACTGCCTTAACACACCAATTTTGTACATATAGAATACAACACGGGGTATTCCGTATCGCCTGAGGTATTGGCCCAACCGCGCGTCGGATCGCGGGAGGGCCGGGACCGAGGGCGATGCGGAATACACCGTGTTGTATTTTATTTATGTCATACCCACCCAAGAAAACGGGCCTTTCAATGCAAGATGAGCCAAAAGTTGGTGCCCCTGAACCCTCAAATGCAACAACATGAGTTCCAACGTTCGGATTCTGTATTCGAATTTTTGAAAGCGGCGCACACGGTTAGGGCAAAATGCGTTCGAATCGTTCTATGGAAGCCATGGAACCAGTTATCGAACGTTATTGCGGCCCAGGTATGATATAAATGTAAGTACAAGCTGGGTAAGACCGGACTGTCATGTTTGAACCACGGGAAGGACCCCTACTCTTCTGGAGAAGTGCGATGGGTTCTTTAACATGCGTGGGGTGTGGCTCTCCCCGAACACGGGACCTCCATTTAATGTCCTATCCGAGGGAATACATGTCCTTAACTGAAGCTAGGTACACCTGTGTGAAGTGAGGAAAGTCATGTAAAGTGCATTTCCCAAGGGCTCAAGATTGGTGGCATTGGTCAGGATTCGAACCCGGGACCTCTTGGTTCTGAGCCGAACGCTCTACTGTTATGCCACACGACCATGTTGTAGTAAAGGGTTGATTGTTGATATTCCCCATGCTGGGGATGGTGCCAATTGAAGGGGCCACACACAGTGGAAGTTCTGTATTGTTAGCACCAATGACAACAGTTGAAGTTGACTTTTGACTTTACAAAAACAACAAGCATTGTCCTGTCTATTAAAGAAGTGGAGTTTTACCACCGTTTAAAAAATGGGCAGAAAAATGCCATTCATAAATGAGATTAATAGTTGCCAGTTATCTTTATTGTTATACCAAAAGACTGCAACTCTTACCTGTAGTTTGAATACTTGAGTCTAAAATCGTTGAAGAGATTCATCAGTCACGTATAGTTCAAGTTCAGTAAAATAATTCTTTCAATCAGTGACTATTAATAAAAAATTTGGAGGTATGTACCTTAGGATTTAATAGTCACTGGTTGAAAGAATTACCTTACTGAACTTGAGTCTAAAACAATGATATCTAGTCCTGTGATCTACATCCAGAAAGGGTGATTGCTACTCCAAAGAAAGCTTCATTCTACCAGGAGACAGCATGTTACTATTACTACTACCTACATGTATGCTAAAAAACGTTCAAGCAGTTGTCCAAGCACAGTTATTAGATTAATTCACCCACTTTCTTAGTCATTTGTCAAATTTGAAATGTAATATACAAACTAGGAAAGATTTTTATGTTTACCGAAGAAAAACATATTGTTTTTACTCAGTTTCTTCCTCCTCCTCTTCTGTTCCAAACACTAACCTCTGACCTGGCCAATGACATGATTTGTTGACATTTGTCACCATGGTAACTGGTGTTAGGTTACATAATGTTGCAATTTCATGGTCTGATTATGGAGCGGGCGGGTGAAAAAAAATTAAAATAAAAACAGGCCTAGGCATCCATTATGGCCCAAAATGGTACAATAGGAGCCATAAAGTCAACACACCAGGCTGGTTCAAAATTTAAACAATGAATTTTGAACTTTTAATGATACCACTGCATTGAAAGATGGAATAACTGTAACAATTAGGATGAAAAGGACTGTTTTCAACTGTTCAGGGCAAAATATGAGCATTTTGCAGTTGATTCTGAATTTTTATTTGCAAATCAGACAAAAATGAAGCGGCAAATCCGTTAACCAAGAAATTAAATTGGTGTGGCCTAGGAAAGATTTTTAAATCTGCATTTGCCTAAACTAACTTACAACTGCCGTACCAATAATCCTAGGCACACTTAGTTGGTGTGTTAGCCTGTAAGGTTTGCGACTTTGATAAATTGAAGGGTTTAAAACAAAGGCTCAAACTTCAAAGCCGTCCTCCTGCACTATAGGAGTCAGGTAACGGGTAGTAATTATGTTTTGAAGTGACCTGTATTACAGCAGTGTAAACCAGGTCTCCAGACCCACAAAAGAGCTTACCGCCTGTAATATTGATATCACACAAACAAGATTAAAATATTCTTATTTACGGGGCTAGAATAGAAGATAGGAATATCTAATTATCTTGTCGAAAGTCGATACTAATCGACTGGACAATGTTTCAATCATATCATGGAAGGCCAAAGGTGAGAGCTTGTCTGCTTTGGGCCGAGAAGTTATGTGTAAGTTGTTTTTAATGTCCTTTGTATCTGTATCGGTATAGCCAGTACATAACCGGCCTTCAGTGTAACACACCAGCTTTGCAGGCATGCGGCGAGGTGGCAGTTAGCTATATCAAACCAAACGACTTGTTACACTCAATCTTTGCACATTTGAATGGCAACAATGTCTACATTACACCCGAGTTCAACTGGATGTATGATATACATGTATTGTCATGTTGATGTGAACATTTTCAACTGTAACCAAACTTTCATTTTACTGTATATTTTTAATGGAACATTTTAACGGAAATATGCCCAAATTTGGTGTATCTAAACAAAAAAGTGTAACGGTGTCAATTTCAGGATCCGAATTTGGTGTTTAAAGTTTGAAAGCGGCGTACTCGGTGCGCACGAAACGCGTTCAAATTATTATATGGAAAATTTGGAAGCCCATGTGATAAAAAGGAGAACCCCGGGCCTTACCGCTAGTTATCACATGGGCCGGAACTCCCATATCAAACGTTATTGCGGCCCAGGTATGACATAAATGATTTTCACAGTATCATATATGCATGTTCCTTTTCAATTATGAGGGCCTGCAAGGGGGGGTCCCGACAACGCTCTACGCTGAATTCGGAAATCTCTCGATTACGCTTTACGATAAATTCCAAGTGGCTACAACGCATTACGTAGAATTAAAACGCCAAATACGCTCTATGCAAAAATATTGGAGCGGTCCGTCTACGCTCTACGTAGAATTAAAACGGCCAATTACACTCTACGCAAAAATATTGGAGCGGTCCGTCTATGCTCTACGTAGAATTAAAACGGCTGATTACGCTCTACGGAAAAGGGCTTGCGGGCCCCCAATTATCTTTTTTTACCACCAGACGTTACAGCATCAGCTAATGTAGCAAATTGAATGTATTGTGTATTATGTCCTACCTGGGCCGCGATTACGTTCGATACGGGTGTTCCGGCCCGTGTGATAACTAGCTGTACGGCCCGGGGGTTCTTTACGCGTACGGCTCGGGGCTTCCAAATGTTCCATAGAACGATTCGAATGCGTTTCTCCCTAACCGCGTGCAACGCTTTCGAAAATTCGAATGCAAAATTTGGACGTTGGAATTGATGTTGTTGCAGTTTTTGGGTTTAGGGACACCAACTTTCTGCTCATTTTGCATTGAAAGGCGTGTTTTCTTGGGTGGGTATGACATAAATAAAATACAACACGGTGTATTCCGCATCACCCTCGGTCCCAGCCCTCCCGCGGATCGGATCTCCCTCCGGCCTACTCGCGGTCGGGCTGGTACCTCGGGCGATACAGAATACCCCGTGTTGTATTCTATATCTGTAGATAGATTGTAGTGACAATGCTGCTCGACATCTACCTTCAGAGGACCGCCCTCCCAGTGTTTGTGTATTAAGAACCAATTGAACCTACTTATTTTACCCCTGCAAAGGCCAACTTTACCTCAGCTTGATATTTGAAGTCTAAGACATTCTTGGCCACTGATGGAGGTGTTTCTAAGGCCAACTTGGCTTCTTATAAGGAATTCAAAGTTTCAGCTGGTTTCTGGAAGTTGAGTTAAAGAAGCGAAAAAATTAGTTTTGAAGCAAGGCCAAGGGTTCTGATATCAAAGGAGCCCGATAGTGGCTCAAGTTCACCAGGCAAGGTCATCTCAGGGTTATTTGAAGGTTATTTGAAGGTTAACACAAACAGACTTGATACAGGATGACTTCTGACAAGGTTTGGGGCATGCCCTGAAGATATCGACTTAGTTATTAAATAGCAATTGATCCCACTTAATAGTAATTGCAATTTTGAGCAAGTAGCGGACTCTATGTGACACCAATGGTCTAATTTAATTCCATAGAGTCGTTTTGTTTGACAAGTAACTGAAAACAATTTCAATCCAGTTAAAAGTTGTTTACCTCCTGAGTGCTGTTTATAGTAAGCCGGCTTTCGTATTAGGTTTCCTGCTTATTGTGATCAAAGTGAAATTTTGTTTGTGTCTTTCTAAGAAATTGTCGGCAACGCTGTTGTTTGGAACAGTTCAAACAAGTTGAAACACTTAAAGATTGTAGAACTAGTTAGACAAACAAAGTTCAAGTCGACTTTGACAATCTCTTGAGATTGATCTATCCTTGACAATGTTTCTTCCATGAATGTTCTTTTGCATGTCATTATTTATATAATATATATAATATGAGAGCCTGCAAATTTTGAGAGCCGGCTGCATATTACGCTGAATTCAGGGAGCCTCCCCATAATGTTTTACGATAAATTCCGGGTGGCTACAAGGCATTACGTAGAATCAATACTGCGAATTACGCTCTACGCAAAATGTCCCAATTACGCTCTACGTTGAATTAGAGCGGTCTGTCTATGCACTACATCGAATTAAAACAGGCATTTACGCTCTACGGAAAAGGGCATGCAGACCCCTATACTAGTATATGTATACTTTGTACATATGACACATAAACACACACATCCAGTGGACGATTAGAGTGAGAAACACGCATATGTGTCAATCCCTGGACATATGTATAACATTGAGAGTAAATGGAGCAGTTCTATGTATATGTTACAAACCAGTTGAACCCAGTAGTTCAACAAACAACAGGTACAATCAGGGTAGGGTTGCAAGGTTACCTTAGTCCTGATGACTTACAGGTGCATGGGAAATATGACATGCCTGAGATTAGGGTAACATTATTACCTGGTATAGTTTTCATTGAATGTTACAATGTGGTAAACATACATTTTTAAACTGTAATTTCCAGCACAAGAAATTGGACTTTTTGACTGTAAAACTCCAGTCAAGAAATGAGCAAACTGGGAATGTGGTAATTATATTAGAAACTAGAAAGGCCAATATTTGCTTTGGAGCAAATACAGCGATGGGTTCACCACATTTTACCACATGGCAGGGAAAGAATGAGAAACACAAGGGAAAACAATGATTTACATTGATATAACTATAATATGAAGTAACATACAACTAAAACAACAGTTGGATAGCTATTCCCTACTTTATTGGTTAGGATTTTTAATTGCATAATGCAAACTGTTGATTTTCAAAATAAAATAAAAAACGTTCATGCCCCGCATTCCAATGCTGGAGCAGAAAAGCTTGAAATACCTACCAAAACACTTGAATAAAGACATACTGTCAGTATGGAAATGCTCTGTGCAGGTGTTAATCAAGTTAAATCCCAACAGCCAATCAGCAAGAAGTATAGAGGAAAGCTGCATGCCTATTGGTTGATGCCCTGCATTCCATTGTGATGACTCATGCCCAGACGTGGTAAACACGGCACACTAACACAGTAATACATTTGCTATAACACAGCCAAAAAACTCAAATAAAACCATTCTAAAAGCCTGTATCACAAAAATTTAAAAAACGCCTAGGGGTATTTGCCCACTGTACCTCCATACCAAATTTCAGGACCTTAGGCCCTAAAATGAAGAAGCTGAATCCATTTAAAAAATGGCAGGAGAAGAAGGAGAAGGTGAAGGAGAAGGAGGAGAAGAAACATCAGAAAAAGCAATATGGGTTCACCACCACTTCGTGGTGTGGTGAACCCATAAACATAGAAAAACATAAAGTCAAGTCAAAGTTTATTGCACAACAATTGTAGCAGGTACAATGTATAATAAGATTACTACCTGGTATGCGTCTAGCAAAATTCTACATAATATATAATGTTACATGTAGATTCAACCGTTCAATGGGAAGAATTTATATGATCTTAACAAATTGTTTTAAAAAGTTTATCCCTGGCAATATTCAAGATAGAAAGACAAGACAACACCTGTCTGTGTTAATATTTCAACATATATACAACATGATGCAGGATATTAATGATGTTTTCCATGAATTTTTCTTTGCTATATGCAGGACAATCCTCAGTACAACCCAGACCGCTGTAACGCCTTCCAGTGTGACCTTACGAAAGACGACCTACGAGCCAGCGTACCGGCAGCTAGTGTGGACATGGCGACACTAATTTTTGTCCTGAGCGCCTTACATCCTGATACAATGCGTACAGCACTGGAGAACATACACAGGGTAAGCATAGTCTCCACCAGACTTCTTTTGCGGGGTGAATAAATAGTAGAAATCGGCCTAAAAAGGGTATTAATTGGCCAGAGAAGGTAGCGGGCCAGAGAAGCTCCATTTCCCTGTCGAGCCTTTTTAGGCCGATTTCTACGATTTAGTCACCCCGCAAAAGAAGTCTGACTAAGCACATTGGTAGAATGTACTGCACCTGCACGAAACCCGTAAATTAATGTATTATACATAGCACTTCGGCAGAACGTGTCATATAAGGTGGTATTCGTGCATATAAGGTTAACATCTCGTCTGTGGTTTCCAAATGTTATGTCGGAAAAGATGTCTTCTGCAACAGGCAAAATTCTGATGCAACGACGTTGACCAAAAATCCAACGAAAACTTGGCAACAAACTTGGGGGGTACTTGTTACTCATGGTATGACAATATAAGGCCACACCAATTTAATTTCTTGGTTAACGGATACGCCTCTTCATTTTTTTATGATTTGCAAATAAAAATAAACATTCAGAATCAACTGCAAAATGCTTTTATTTTTATTTTTTTTTCGCCCGCCCGCTCCATTATTTTTCTGGAAAAATCCTTTAACCAAGAAATTAAATTGGTGTTGCCTAACACTTCATTTTAGTCATTACACTTGCAGGTATCTTTCCCCTAGCCTCCTATACGAGTCAGGCTTTTCTGGGGTGTTTTTTTTTAATGGCATAACAGTTCTTCATACTCTGTTTCTTGTAGGCCAAGTAGGTACTGAGAACTAATATTTCTTCAGAAAGCACATCATAATACCCCATTCATACTAGACTTTCAAAAAACGGTTTAAACCGCTAAATAAAAGTTTGGTATGAACGGGGTCTAAGTCTCCCCAAAAGCCGGGCAACTTGTACAGCCTTAGCAGCTATATTAAAGGAGGTTGTCTTTGAAAATGTCTTCTTTTCCATAAAAATCGGTCAATATTTGCAACTGTTTGTCTGTTCACCAGATTGAGTGAACAGCCAGAATAACTTAATCATTGATTCTTTAAGAAATATTTCAAGTAATTGTTAAACTACTAATAAACACAGGAGGCAAGATTTAATCTGTTTTTCACCAGTGCTCAGCTGCAAAAGCAAATGGTCTGACTTCTAAGGAGATTAACTACTAATCCTTAGTAGGATTATAAGATTAATTATCCAGTGGTCTAATAATCCAATTAGAGAAAAACAACCTGAATTCCTGTCTTCAAGCTTTGAAGAAAAACTTTCTTTTCTTTTTCTGTGATTCTTGTAATCCTTAATTCAATAACCAATTGCAAAAGGCATTCCATATACATTTGTAAATTAAAAAGTAGGACCATGAAAGTGATGCAAAGATTCTGATATTCATTTTAGACAAACTAATAAAAGTATGGCATGTCCTAGGGATATAGGGAATCGCTTGTGATAAGTAATATTTGTTTTTTGGCAGGGTTTTAAAGATTCAAATCAATACTCTCCTCAAAAATCAACATTCAAAACTTTTTAAAAACCATTCTACAAAAAAAAAGAATAAACACTTTTTTGAGACAGCTATGTTGAAATCCCTGATTTTCAACTCTGTTATTCCTTAATGTACAGTAAACTTTTGCATGCCATTGGAAAGATCATGTTATCTTCAGTACCAGGTTGTTTTTTTATGGTCAAAACGTACAAATTTATGAAGATATTTGACTTTAAAAATTGCAAATAGAACTATAGAAAGTTGTTTTTTGCCAATTGGGGATTTGCAGTTGACCCGAAAGTGAAACGTTCAATTTCTCTGAAAGATTTTATCCAACTGAGAAATTATGTGGGATGCCAGAAAGACAATTATGGTCCCTGCAGGCCGCTGCCACTATAATTGGCTTCTCTGTAGTAATCGTTAACACTCAGTCCCTCACACCTGTCAGATTTCAAACAGTAGGGGTGGGTGGGGGGCTTTGTTTGGCCACTGTTAACTGTCATCTGTCAGGAAGGTGCAGAAACAGCCATCAAGAACCAAGCATTTACCTTGACCTTGAAGTACCCATTAATATTTTCACATTCAATTTGGCATTGTCATTTCATATTTACTGATGAAACCTCAAAAAGGAATGTAGATTTTTGTCAATCGATATTTTAGGTATGTAAATGTCTGGTTTATATCATCATCATTCATTAATTACTAAAATGATGTTTGTAGAATGTAAGATATGTTTGTAGAATGTAAAATATGTTCAAGCTCAACTTTAATAGAAATAGTGCTATAGACTCTAACTTTCAGGTGGAAATCCTTATGTTAGAGAGAGTTCCTCTTTGGTAGACTTGCTGAAATTCAAATGCTATACATGTGCCTGTATAGTATTTGTGAAAAATATTACCAAATTGCCAGGAGTTAAACAGCAGGCACAAAATTAATTTGTATGCATTGTCACTATGTGCTGTAAAATACGTCACCAGACCACAGTACATTACATAATGGTAGGTTGAAATGACTTTTAGATAATGACTTTTATTATGCAACAATGTACAAGGTACAAAGTATGGCAGAAATGAGAGAACAAATCTAACAAATCAGTCTACGTAGTACAATACTAGGTGATATGGGATGAAAAGGCGCTCATACAATCATTAAAAGAATTTCTTACGTTTAGACATTCTTTAAAATACTGTCCTATATTCACAATGTATGGATTGTCAAAAGTCAACAAGTATCTGAATTTGCTAGATGAATTCATGGCGAGAAATTCTGGTATAGAAGTTGATATAGTTGCATATAATGAATTACGTATATCAGAATATTTGGGACAAACAATCAAAAAGTGGTATTCGTCTTCTATTGATTCGGGACAGAAGGGACAAACCCTCTGGTCAGCAGGTATTTTCTGAAATCTTCCTGTTTCCATACTTAATTTGTGACAGCCAATGCTGAGTTTTGTGAAATAACATATTGATATTCCTGACAAAGAAAAACTACAGTCTATGATGTTAATCTGTGGAAGGGGCATCTAAGGTGTTAGTTTGAAGGGCATGGAAAGCAATTTTGTTGATATAATAAAAAAAATTGGTTCAAATTCAAACTTTTCTGCTGTGTGATAAACAGACTATCAGTAGGCTGAACATACAAAATATATACAATAAGAAATTTTGGAAGGTTTACAAAAGTTAACAAACCGAGTTTAAAGTCCTCATGAATAGAAGTTGATGAATTGCTTCATTCTAGGTTATACATGTTCTAGTCTCAGGAAAAGAAAGCCAACATCTCTGACATCTCTGGTTGCCATGGTGAGGTGATGCCTTCCCAGCATGACGTGGGGCAGGCTGATGAACTTCCCCCGCTGTTCCCTTAATTAACCCACCCTCCCCCGGACACACCTGCACAATCCAATCAGCATGATCCAATCGAACTGGCAGGTTAACTGCACGACCAATCAGTCTATGTACAGACATAACCACCTGGGTAGGGCCACACCAATTTAATTTCTTGGTTAATGGATTCTCCTGCTTCATTTTTTTCTGATTTGCAAATAAAAATAAAAATTCAGAATCAACTGCAAAATGCTCATATTTTGCCCTGAACAGTTGAAAACAGTCCTTTTCATCCTATTTGTTACAGTTATTCCATCTATCAATGCAGTGGTATCATTAAAAGTTCAAAATTCATTGTTTAAATTTTGAACCAGCCTGGTGTGTTGACCTTATGGCTCCTATCGTACCATTTTGGGCCATAATAGGATGCATAGGCCTGTTTTTATTTTTTTATTTTTTCGCCCCCCGCTCCATTATTTTTCTAGAAAAATCCATTAACCAAGAAATTGAATTGGTGTGGCCTAACCTTCAACTTACAAGGCTGAGTGTAGAATGTTCGCAAACACAGAAAGTCAGCAAGATTTTTGTGAGCCACACGCTGTGCAAATCGGTCTAACATGATTTGCTACTTTTCCATTGATCTTTTGCATGCTGAAGGAGAGTGAAGCAGCTTTGGTTGCAGTTTTAAGAGCCCCATTTTATTTTTTTCTGTGACACATATTTTAGTAGTGACCCTTACGGCAATGTTTACGTTGTGCCATTTTGATGTCATATAATTTCAAAACTGTGACAGAAAAAAAACAACAAGGATCTAAGGTAAACGTTTCCGAAACAAAACAGCTAAATTTTTCAAAACTGTCATGCACAAAAGGCTAGGGTCGGCAGTTTTCTGTAGGGTCGGTTGGGAAACAGAAAAGATACAATTTTTTCCCTAGGCCTTTAGGGGGCCCGCATGCCCTTTTGCGTAGAGCATAATCGGTCGTTTTAGTTCTACGTAGAGCGTAAACGGACCGCTCTATGTAGCTCTAATGTGTGTAATTGGCTCATTTTGCGTAGAGCGTATTCGCCGTTTTAATTCTACGCAATGTGTTGTAGCCACTTGGAATTTACCTTAAAGCGTAATCGAGGGGTTCCTGAATTAAACATAGAGTGTTGTCGGGCCCCCCCCCCCATTTTATTTTTTTCTGTGACACATATTTTAGTAGTGACCCTTACGGCAATGTTTACATGGACGTTGTGCCATTTTGATGTCTTATAATTTCAAAACTGTGACAGAAAAAAAACAACAAGGATCTAAGGTAAACGTTTCCGAAACAAAACAGCTTTAGAACATCCTCCTGTTTCTGTGCAGGTGCTGAAGCCAGGTGGTTGCGTGTTGTTCCGTGATTACGGCCTGTACGACCACGCCATGTTGAGGTTCGCTCCCGGACACAAGCTAGCCGACAGCTTCTATGTTCGACAAGATGGCACCAGAGCGTACTACTTTTCAACAGGTAGGTCAGGGTATTTCAAAACATAAAAACATAAACCTAAAAAACATAGATTTAATGAAGAAAGTTTAATAGCATTGTCAACATTATGTCATATTGATAAAAAAAAAGATTTGGTTAAGCAAATAGGTTTGTTTGAAAAGGACAAAACTGCATAATCTAAATATTGCTGCATCAGTGCATCTTCATTGATCACATGCAAATGTACAGTTGATTCACATACATCATTAGCCTTTTCTGCCAAGAACTTTAAGGCATATAACTGTGCTGTACTAGCTATGCTGTAAAAGAAGTTTCAACTTTTTGGTATTCGTGATTGTGGGTCTGTAAATCCTGTACATGATATTAATGTTGTGTACCTAAACTCACATTTAGGTTCAGGTTCGGATTCAAGTCCAGAGGTTTAGGTTCAGTTCCGGTCTTGTAAGTCTGGACCTAAACCCATGGCATATACAAAATTGCATGTTGACAACCTTGCAATGTTGTCTGGGCAAAACTGACCAGATAACATGGAAGCTGACACTTGATGATGCCCAATGGCAAGGTTTTCTTAATTTTGCAGCACAGATTTTGCAATCTATATGGAAGATTTTAGGTGGTTTGGAAAGAAAAGGGGTATGTGACATGTTTTTTTTTGTAATAAGTCCAGAATCGGTTCTTGACTTTTAGGGTTTTTTACTTGAACTTAAACATTTTTACACGTCCAGAACCAGTCCAGTGAACCGGTACACGGCACCACAGTCTCTTCACTGATACCTGGTTCATCTATTTCTCCAGCATTTTTACACACTGTTCACAGTTTGCTCCAAGTTCTGTCCAGCTCTGTAAAATGGACATTCCAGGCTGTGGTGTGGTGTGGGTTCTCTTGGGGTTGTAGTGAATGTTTAAACTTCACACCTTTTAGCTTGTAGACTTCCTGGCTCCTCTGTTTCCTCTGATGTACCGCCCTCGCTGGCCAATATTTGGGAACTGTTGTACAGGATTTGATGTGGACTGCTAGATGATGGGTACATACAGCTGAGGGGATGGGCCTGAGCAGAGAAAAGCCTTGTTTTCCAAGTCAACACTATCCAACAACACGATACAATTCCTCGTGTTTGCTACTTACTATCGATCATGGAAGTTCATCTGTGTTGGTAGTTACATGTTGAAAGTTTAAAACTTTTGTTCCAACACAAAGCGAGATTTCTCACCTGGAGTTTCAGAGAAGTCACATGACACTGGGTCAGTCTATTGAAGAAGACCAGAGTCACAGATCGAAAGCTCTAGGTGAGAAATCTCTCTTTGTGTTGGGTCAAAAAAGTTTTAACTTTCAACACATTTTCTACTTGAACGGCATGGGCAATTTGAAAAGAGCAAAATGCAAAATGAAAATCATTTTTCTGGTAGGACTTTAAGTCTTGGTCATGAGTGTTTTCTGTAACAGGCTACATGAAGGATTTTTCTTTGCAGTTTAATACAATATAGGAAGAAATAATTCAACTCTTTGTTGGAATAGGGATGAACCATAGAAAATCTTTTATTCTGTAGCTTTGTTTAACATGATCTGCTTGATGTAGGGGTTGCAGAAAAGTGCAAGGTGTACTCAGGGTGCGAAATACTGGGTGCATGTGCACCTTAGTGCATTCAAAATTGGAGCTGTGCACCTAATTTTTTTCTGCACCCAAATATTTTTGTTGGAATTTTTTTACATTAGAAATGTATAATAGTATACCCGATATTCTTGGTCTCTAAGTATCAGAAAAATAATAAAATCTTTGTTGGCTCTCATTTTAGATTCAAGCTCAGAAGAGGAGTAAGACCTGTAATTACGTTTTGTTTCATATGGCACACACAAAAATTTTCTTGTGCACCTAATTTTTTAGATTGGGTGCACCAGTGCACCTATTCCCAAAAATGAATTTCGAGTCCTGTGTACTGAAGAAAAAAAAAAACTGAAGGTGATTCAGTACAGAGTTCTTTTGGTCAAGTCAGTGGTGAAATGATACACTGATTTCCATAATCTATGACCTCCCTTAACCCCTTTTCTGAAACTTCAAAGCGTTTCCCTTTTTGACAGCCAACCTAGGATGGCTTCACACAAACAAGTCAGGTTACTCAGGGGCATAATAAGCTGCACCCCAAACAGAAGGCTTCCTGTCTTCAATATTTTTGCAATTTTCCGATATGTTTAACAGAAGGAGGAGAACCCGTATAGAAGTCTGACACCACTGTATTGTTTGCAGCCAGTAAACGTAATGGTGAAAGATAACAATGTAGAACTCAGTATGCATGAAACACAACCTTAAAATCTTCAGTTCTGTAACTCTTTAGCTTTAGCAAATTTGACAGTCACATCAAAATGAAACATAGTTTCTGTGTAATGTTTTTAACCTTTGCATTCTTTCTTATGAAAATTAAATCATTTAGGACATGTCAACAACACAGATCTAGTTGGAAATTAAGAAAAAAACATTCTATTGACTTTTTGTTATTGTCTCATTAAGACAAAATGTCCTCAAAAACTTGCTGTCAAGTTAAAGTTAGTTTTAAGTCCTCCCCATAACCATTGGCATGGTCACTTATGGCGGCACCCATCTCTGTTTCTGTAGCCCTTGGGCCACACAGTTGTGCAATCACTACAGCAAGGGGACTAGTCCAAAGGTAGTGGTGTGTGTTTAACTCCAATAGTCTCTTCTCAAATGCTGAATGCTTAACAGAGAAAGCTGTATGTGCCGTTTTTAAAGTCTTTGGTATGACTCGGCCGGGGATCGAACTCACAACCTACCGAATGCAAGGCGAGCACTCTACCCACTTGGCCATTGCTGTGAAGAGGGCCTGCAAGCCCTTTTTCGTAAGACGTAATCAGGCCGTTTTAGACTTCGTAATTCGTAGGCAGCCTCCGAAAAAATCAACGTAATTCGTAATTGGACATTAGCCGCAAATCGTAAAGTCGTAATCAGCTCTGAGACTTTAACGTAATTCGTAATAGGCAGCGAAAATTTTGCGTAATTCGTAATCACTACCCCCCCTTGCAGGCCCTCTGTGAAGTTTACAGCGTAAAGGCCAACTGAACAGTCGTTACAACTGTTTACATATCAAACCAAGAAATGTCCTCAGCTGCAGTATCTAGTAACTTCCCTTCTGACGTGTGTTTACACAGTTGTATCTACAGGTCAGTTGGACACAGTAACAAGTCTCAATATTTGTGGTTCGGTCAGGATGAAAGAGAAAGTGGAGACGGTATGTCTGGGACGGGAGGTGAGACTTTCTCTGTTGACTGACAGGAAACTTGGCAATGTGTGAGGTTGTAGGAGGAAGCTGGGCCTGTTAGATGTGTAACTATTCCTTCTCAGCCAGCTTGATTTTTTTTTTTTCGTCAGCTCAGGTTCATATTGGACCTGGGGAGGGAGTGCTCACTATCTAGGGGGTTTTGGTGCAAATTTTGGAGGTTTCAAGCCTTTAGGCGACACCAATTTACAGCGTCTAGTCTAGGAACTTATAAGTTGACTTATCATTTTGTTATATCTGTTATTTTCTTGTATATTTTATTTATGTATGCCTGCAGGGCACATTGAAAAATGCCTTAGTGGCGATATGTACACCCTGGGTAAACAAATAAAACAAACAAACAAACAAACCAATTTAATTTCTTGGTTAACGGATTCGCCCGCTTAATTTTTTTCTGATTTGCAAATAAAAATAAAAATTCAGAATCAACTGCAGCAGTTGAAAACAGTCCTTTTCATCCTAGTTGTTACAGTTATTCTATCTTTCAACGCAGTGGTATCATTAAATATAAAAATTCATTGTTTAAATTTTGAACCAGCCTGGTGTGTTGACTTCATGGCTCCTATCTTACCATTTTGGGCCATAATAGGATGCCAAGGCCTGTTTTTATTTTTATTTTTTTCACCCGCTCGCTCCATTATTTTTCTAGAAAAATCCATTAACCAAGAAATTAAATTGGTGTGGCCTTACATGTAAGCCCTTTACATCTTTGAAACTGACAAGTTTACTGTTTAGGCACCATATTAAAATAACTGTCAAGTGTCAACATATCTGATGATGGCGCCTATTGTCCTATATTTTCCTGAGAATTTAGCATCCTTATTTCTGCTGATCATACAAAGAGCGCCTTTAAAAAGGCTTCAGGCAAGTGTAACTTCTTTACCTCAGACTGACTGACTCCCAGGACCCTTTGGTCTCCCGACAAGAGCCAATATTGACAGATTGTAACAAGTGCATTGCTACATCTGAGCACACACACTGGGTGAGATAGACAAGCACTTCAGAATCTTTCAGCCCTCTACAACTCTTTACTCTCCTGTGGTTGACAGTTTAACTTGACGTGTACTAATAGGGCTAGGGTTATGCTAGTGTGGGACACAGCACTAAAGGAGCGCCTGCATGCCCTTTTTCATTAGGCGCTCGAAATGAGTTAACTATTCAAATTTCTACAATTCATCCCAATTTTACTAAACTTTAATACAGACAAAGAAAAAACTATTCTTCTTTTAGCTTCCCAAAACCCACTAATTTTAGAAAAGGTTGGACATTACGTCTTCCATGGTCTAAAAAAGAGAAGTCAAACCCCTTAGACATAGTTTTCAGACATAGCTATAGCTCTAGACAACTAATATTTTATACTACGTTTCATTGTTCTTTTATGTTTGTAATCTGCAATTAGCCCCCCGGGCATGAATTTGCAATAAACTTCTTATAATCTGGCCTTTTTAGTCTTCGTAATCCGTAGGCAGCCACCCCAAATCATCGTAATTTGTAATCAGTACATTAGCCCTAACATGTAGTTGTTCATAATCATCTGTGAGAAATCGTAATCGGCAGCGAAAATTTTGCGAAATTCGTAATGACTATTACCCCCCCCCCCATGCAGGCCCTCCTAAAGACATTTAAAGCAGTTGTTTTCAGTTACATTTGTCATGAAAACAGACTCTAGCAGACATGTAAGGGGGCCCGCAAGCCCTTTTCCGTAGAGCGTAATCGGCCGTTGTAATTCTACGTAGAGCGTAGACGGACCGCTCTAATATTTTTTGCGTAGAGCGTATTCGGCGTTTTAATTCTACGTAATGCGTTGTAGCCACTTGGAATTTATCGTAAAGCGTAATCGATAGGTTTTCGAATTCAGCGTAGAGTGTTGTCGGGACCCCCCCTTGCAGTCCCTCATGTAACTTACAGTTGTTCATATAAGGTAGATACAACAGAATGAGGGAGATATTACATGAAGTAAAATCCTGTTCACCAATAACTGTGTTGTTGACTGAAGTTCAATGTTGACATGAAGTCATGTGAAAAGAATTAATGACCAAACTTTGTGGCAAGTAGCTGAGCAAGGTCATTGTGAGATCCCACAGTGTTGGTCAGTGGCTTCATGTTTACTTGTCAAAGTCAGTACTTTGAAACTACTGATGTTTTGATGCTTTGAAATGAAGTATCCTCTGTTGACTGGGGTGACAAGGCGTGTTGAGTCATTTCGGAACATCAGAAAGTAGCAGGACAATGACAAACCTACTCAGTAAGCCGGGAGGTGATTGGTGTGGTTTTGTGGGACTCTTGTATCTTTTTTCTTGTTTACTTGTCAGTGTGACTGATAAACTGGTGGATGTACCAACCACTAAGTATCTGATACCAGCCCAGAAAAGAACAAGAAACTGTCATGCCTTCAAATATCAGAGTTATCAACCAAGAATTGAGGTAAGCTTGTATTTCTCCAGAACTATTGTAGACTGGAACTCGTTGCCACCAAGCACAGTTGGGGCATCGTCACTAGAAAGCTTTAAACAACTCTTGCAATCAAATGTGCAAAGATTCGTTCGGTGTGATATAGCTAGCTGCCGCCGCGCCGTGTGCCTGTGTGCGAAGCTGGTGTGTTACGCCAAAGAGCGGTTATACCGGCTATATCGATACAGATACAGATACAGTGTTGCACTGCTGTATACAGTACTTTGTTGTTTAAGCCTCTAGAACAGCATTCAGTAGCTACTGGTCAGTCTGGATGTTGGACTGACGTTAGTGATTTTATGTTTTGTGTGGCCAGTGGTCATCTGCACCGATTTTGGACCAGAGGTAGAGGGTTCGAATCCCAACTTGCAGTTGTTGCTGACCCAACTAGAGGTACAGTCCTCATGGAAAGGACTTTGTGCGATGGCAAAAAAAAAAGACAGTTCTAAACACTGACAACACAACTTGTAACTCACCTGAACTAACAAAATGCAGAACCATTTGCCACTTAGTTATACTGGTTTTGCACTCTCCCCCTTCCATCAAACAATTATTCTATCTTTCCATCAGGTTTTGAAATTGAGTTAGCCCTGACATGACTTTGGTTTGTTTAGAGTTAAAACTTCTGATCCAACACAAAGAAGTTCTCTCACCTAGAGCTTTCGACCAGTCACTCTGGTCTTCCTCAGTAGACTGACCCAGTGAAGCTTGTCACGTGGCTTCTTGGAAGTGTGACGTCAACATGAGGGAGACCAGAGTGACTGCTCTCGGTGAGAGAACTTCTTTGTGTTGGATCAAAAGCTTTAACTCTAAACATGTAACTACCAACACAGATGAACTTAAATGATAGTATAATTTTGGTTTGTATTTTTTTGTTTTACAGATGAGCTTGCCAAGTTGTTCACAACTGCAGGATTCTCCGTAGTGAACAATGAGTATGTGTTGAGGGAAACAGTCAACAAGAAGGAAGGACTGTGTGTGCCCAGAGTGTTCGTACAGGGCAAATTTGTAAAAACAGGACAGAAACAGGACGTACCTGGCACAGAACAGGACGACAACGGGACAACCAGCATTGATAAAGGACTTGATGATGCAGAACAGCACAGTTGCAGTACATAATTTTCAAGCAGATGTAGGGTTTGGCTCAGTGTGTGCACATGTTTTGAGATGAGGCAGTTTCAACCTCTTTCTATGATCTGGTAGCCTGTGTTTTTATTACTTTGCTTGCCTCCCTCTCCCTGGATGCTTTCCTTCATAGTTTACCAAGGCTTTCATACTCCACTCTTACAAACTATTTTATCAAAAGGTGGAGTGTGGAAGTCCTAGTAAGCAAAGATGGCACCCAGACAACCTACCTCCTACATGGACCACTAGAAAGTCAGAAAATGCTTCAAAAATATGCATAAAACACTACAGTAAACAAAACCCCTCATCTACTGAAAGATAACAGGTTGAATATATGACAATGAAGGAACTTGAAGAGACAAAGAAAGATAACATAGCAACAAAATGTCTTTGTTGTTGGCAAGCATTTTGCAAGAAACTGATGTTCTCAGCTACAACATGATCAAGTAAAATAAATCATTATGATTTTTGATAAAATGATTTAATTGTTTCACAGTTCTGGTTCTGGAATAGGCAGCTGAAATGTAAAGAATGTTTGATACCCAGGCTAGTGTTTCTCTAATCTAGGATGTTCTATCAAAGTGCATGTTCCTTTATAGAACCTCCTTACTCCAAGTTCAAGTATTTTATTGCTTCCTGTACCATGCACAAAGCTATTGGATGCGGCTCAATCCGGCTCAAGCCGGATCAAAGCGAATCAATTCGGCTTGATCCGGACATTATCGTAGTGGGGATGGGGCCTTGGTCACTTCAAAGCTGAATGCACCTGTCATCTGTACAACCCAGCTACTCAGTTGCTGGATGCACCTGCTAACAGCTGAACTACAGCTGTCTGCACCAGCGACCACCTGTTGCACAGACGCAAAAGGTTTACAGAAATATGGAACTTGTTATGATCAGAATCATTACAGAGCAACGGAAGTTTTTGATTATTTTCC